GAAGCTAACTTTACTGAAGCTAACTTTACTGAAGCTAACTTTACTGAAGCTAACTTTACTGAAGCTAACTTTACTGAAGCTAACTTTACTGAAACTGAAGCTAACGTTACTGAAGCTAACTTTACTGAAGCTAACTTTACTGAAGCTAACTTTACTGAAACTGAAGCTAACGTTACTGAAGCTAACTTTACTGAAGCGAACTTTACTGAAGCTAACTTTACTGAAGCGAACTTTAATTGAAGCTAACATTATTGAAGCTAGCTTTACTGAAGCTAACGTTACTGAAGCTAACTATACCGAAGCGAACTTTACTGAAGTTAACTTTACTGAAGCGAACTTTACTGAAGCTAACATTACGGAAGCTAACTTTACTGAAGCTAACGTTACTGAAGCTAACTTTACTGAAGCTAACGTTACTGAAGCTAGCTTTACTGAAGCTAACTTTACTGAAGCTTAACTTTACTGAAGCTAACTTTACTGAAGCTAACTTTACTGAAGCTTAACTTTACTGAAGCTAACTTTACTGAAGCTAACTTTACTGAAGCTAACTTTACTGAAGCTAACGTCTGTCATTGCTTCTATAGTCTTGCGTTATAATCGTAACGTCATGCCGGAGTGTTTTGTACCAGACTGCACACACACGAGCAGCGGATCTCGCTCGTTGTTTCGCTTCCCGGGAGATGTAGTTCATTGAGCGATTTTCACATAAAACTAAATGTTACTCTTCTGTTTTATGACAAACTGCGACTTTCTTGAATTTCATAATGATCTTTTAAATTGACAAACATCATGTGTGTAATTCAGGGCACAGTTCAGACGGAATAAAAAGATAAGTTGTCTCTCGCCATTGACTACCATACATATTTTTCCCGAAATAAGGTCCCATGAGCCGGAAGCGGAGGGGCGGGGCTCAGGATCTCTATAGCTGGCGTCGGACGTCAGTAATGGAGGCGCATCGAGGGCTCGTGCTCAACAACATCCTCTGAGAAACTCAGGGCTTCGTGTGCAAAACTCACCGTGACTCTAAAGCCAAACCAGTCATATTTTTTTTAAAGGAATCAAAGCTGTTGTATGAAACTGCTCGACTAAGAAGGAAAATCAAGGCGTCCTGACGTGAGCATAATACATCACGTCAGGGACAGAAGCGAATATATTAGTCACATATCAGTCACTTGAAGCACATAATGGTAAATTGATATAATCAAAGCTGCCTTCTGATTTCATTTCCAAGGACTTTTATTCTGTAAAATCATGTTATTTTTTACTACACTAGGGTTGAAGCGACCCCGTTGAGTTTGGACTTTTGTGTACAGAACAATCGTGAAATCCATGTTGTCATTGGTATAAATTATTCTCAGGAAGAAGCAACTGTACAGATCTTTTAACTAATAAAATGTTATCATTATCTTTAGCTGTATGTATCTTGCTCTTATCTCTGCTCGACTCGTATTCCTTTTGATTGAACTTTTTTGGGTTCGTATTTAAAGGCTGAACTGGTAATGATTGGGTTTTAAAATTATTCCATTATAGTTGTTGAATTTATTACTCTATGAAAATGAACAATTTGAGCCATGTTTGGAAAGGAAAATGATTGTCTGAAACCAAAACTCCTGAACATGCTTTGGATAAAAGCATCTGATACAAAGGAAATGTTAGGAAATATAATATTAAGGGCTTATGAAATAATTTAAATATATATTTAACAAAAAAACTAAGCATTATATCATAGGGACATGTTTAACACTATAATTAGTGTCTTGATTCCTGACCAGTCGTTAAAAGAAAAAAAGTAGGACAGTAATGTAGTTACCTTTTTGCACTGGCTGAAGCCTTAATAACTTTAAATTTGGTTGGATTAACAAATTATATATGTTCTTAAGCTGTATTAGTTATTTTAGGTGGCATTACTCGCATATCTAAGCCCCCAAACTTACACACACAATGCTGAAAGCACTGGACAATGACATAGGTGTAAAAACTCTGATTTCTGGTTAATGTACATGTATGTTCCCTATAAAATACTTTCATTTCAACAGAAAAGGCGACAGGAATGGGAGTTTCCTCCATGTAAAGCAACAGATGCAGCACAGCCGAGAACAGCAACACTTTACAATAAGACTCCACTAGTTAATGCACGAATATTAAAAATGAACAGTATATTTGATACAGTATTTACTAATCTGTTGCCATTTATAAAAACTGTTCATGTCAGCTCAGGACAATTAAATATCAAGATACCATGTTAGTAATGCACTAATAAATGTTGAAATTAACAAATTCTTTAGAATTTATTTCATTATTAGTTCATGTTATTAAATGAAGCCTTATTGTAGCATTACCCAATAAATGCCTTAACTTTATTTTAAAACCGTTTATATTAGCATTTTAACTGTTTTAAGAACTATCGGAAAGAAAGTGAATCTAAATGACTTAAATTCTCTCTTACTAGTGAACGCTTTGATTAACTAGAACTAGACCACAAACAGCATTTACAGTTTCAATTTTTTTTATTAAAAACTGCTTTAGTCGAAAAGACCGAAGCCCATGTCGTCATCAGACTCCTCAGACTCGTCTTTCTTCTCCTCTTTCTTCTCTTCCACCTTGGCTGTAATGCAAACAGAAGAGAGGTTGAGAGTGTGAATGAGATCAGATGCAGGTGTGAAGCGTCTGAATGAGTGTGTGTGTGTGTTACCTGGAGCGTCTCCTGCAGGAGCGGCAGCAACACCAGCGGCAGCGGCAGGAGCGGCTCCTCCACCGGCTCCAACATTACAGATCAGACTCCCGATGTCAACACTGGCCAGAGCCTGAACACACAACATCACACTTACACTCCAACAGGTGCACTACTGAAAGCCACAGTTCACCCAAAAATGACAATTAGCCCATGATTTACTCACCCTGAAGACATCCTAGGTGTGTATGACATTATTCTTTCAGACGTTATATGGCCGTACGCAAGTCGACTTATGCCACAAGAGTAACCCTGATGTAGATGTAGGAGTAGCGTGAGCTTTGACGCCTCGCGCTCGTCATTACGTTGTGCGTCAAGTTCAAGGGTTACTCTTTTAGCGTACGGCCGTCTGCTAGTTATTTTAGTCGATATTTTTCAGAAGCTTCACGTCAGAATGCCTTTATTAACCTCCCCAGAGCCGTGTCGAGGACTTTAATCACGGATGGATAGATGCGCTTTGACGGACTTCCAAAAAAATATACCCATCGACTCACAGAGCTTGTAAGAGCTAGGAGGACATTTAATATAACTCTGTCTGAAAGAAAAATGTCATACACACCTAGGATGGCTTCAGAGTGAGTAAATCATGGGCTAATTTTCATTTTTGGGTTAACTATCCCTTTATAAATCAACACTTAGGAAATTACATCACACTTACACTCCAACAGGTGCACTACTAACACATCAACACTTCAAATCAAGATGCACTACTTAAATAACAATGCTAAGATCCTCTGTAGAGCCGACTTGATAATTGTAGGGACAATGTTTCCCAAACATCCATATTTAATCATTTCCAATCTCTTAGATGGATCTTATAGATGCAATGGCTGAGAAATAAACTCACCTTAGCGAAGAGACCAGGCCAGAAGGGCTCAATGTTCACACCGGCCGCCTTGATCAGGGCATTGAGCTTGTCCTCCTGTAAAACACACAGATCAAGAACACACATTAGTTCATGCTTTCATTTGGATGCAGCACAATAGTAACTTACAGTGATGGTATCAGTACTGTCAAAAAGAAAAACACATGGTAGTACCACGGTACAGTGTGATCATGTGATACAACTGTATTCTTCCTAGAGTAAGATGTAAATACCATAATATAAATGTTGTAATCAACGTATTTGGTCAACACATGGTCATTATGTCACTTAACGTTACTATAGTAGTGTTGTGATTAGCATGGTAACGTTAACGTTACAGGAATATCAAGTGGTAATACTCTGTACTGTAGAATTACCGTCACAATCGCACATTTTACGACTTAAAAGAGTAAATCACTTAAGTTGTCCTGAATAATGGTGTAAAAAAAAGTGGTCAATTTTAAAACAGAAAAAGCGCGCGCGTCTTGTGTAGTTACTAGTTTCCCACAAAGCGTTCAGACTGTTTTCACACACTATTTAGGTTCTAATAATAACACACTGACTATGTGCAGTAACAAACTAACCTATATACAAATGTAAATCTCTGAAAATCACTAATGTATGAGCGTCATTATGTACACAGAGAGTGTCAAGAGTCCCGGATGTCCATGTCGCGCCGTCTGCGCGCGCTGAAACCCCTCACACTCACCGTTACGGTCACTTCATCATCATGGAGGATGAGAGCGGAGTAAATACAGGCCAGCTCGGATACAGATGCCATTGTTCTTTCAGCAGGTTAAGGTTTCAGACGTGGATGCCTAAATTTGACGGTGCTAGTCGCCGGATTCAAAGGCCTTAGCTTCGAGCGAAGAACCGAGCACCTCAAACACAGCGATGTCAGTGAACGGAAAGGGCCGAAAGGGGGCGGGGCGAAGGTTTATATAGTATTATGCGTCACTTCAGTGGGCGGGACTAACTCAGTGAGGAGAGGATGTGATTGGTCCGTTTGTTCTGCCAGTTATTTTTGACATCCGCGTGGTCATAAGAGCGTTGTATTTATTAGATATAACATTTAAATATAACTGGAAAAATGTAAGAAGTTAAACATAAAATAAAAATGTTCGTTTTTTTTATTTATTTACATGATAAATAAAATGTACATGGTATTTACATTGTACTTCAAAGTATTCCATGTAGAAACATGGTAAACCATAGTACTTTTTTATTCGTTTTTTTTATGTATTTGTTTATATTTATTAACACACAGTTGGTTCAGTAGTGGTAATAATATGTCAGTTACTGCTGAACTGTCATCATGGACAAGTAACATAAAAAACTACATGCAGGAATAAAGGCAGTGGAAGGCATGATTTGTTTAATAAAGTCTCTGTAATTAAGCAGTCGAATCACAGAAACACTTTTATTGGAATGGAACGCAAAGACAAACATACATCATACTCTCTCAACACACAAACAACAGTCATGTTACTCAAATTAATTCATATTCGGAAACAAAACAGATAATTAATCTGAAACTCTGGTCTTTTGGCACCCTTGTGATGTGGTCTTAATTACAAAACACTTTTTGAGACTGAATTCAAGGTCCCATCAAAATACATTCTGTAAATTTACACAAGCTTTTCATAGTTTTACTTCTTAACCTATAACTCAATATATAGCAACCGTTTGAACTGTGAAAGACGCTCCGACAGAGAGTCTCTGCTCAAAATCCTCTGTTTACTTCAGCAAAACTGAGCTCAAATAGACAAATGCAGTGTTGTCCTTCGGTTTTGAATCGGATGTCTGATCTCATGATAATGCCGAGCTGTCCTGTTGTGCCGATGTCAATCTTTATGGGATTTTCCTTTGGGCTCTTCATCGTAAGACACGCCGTACTCGTTCACTCTGGTTTTGTCCACTGGATAGAGCCTGAAAAACATCAACATCTCCTGCATCATCCGTACGAGTGCAAAGCCAGTTCAACATCAACGTCACACTATCAGGATCCTCACCATCTCTGATACAGGTACACGAGGAACACCACGTCATCTCTGAAACACGCCAGCCGGTGTGACGTGGGCATGGTGATGACGAACGCAAACACGTCATCGATAAACGTGTTAAAAGCCTGGGGAGAAAAACAAGTGTCAGATTATAAGAAAACTCAAACTCAGTTAACTAAAACCTCCAAACAGACAATGAGCTTTAGTTGTTAGTCAATATCAGTCAATAATACATTTTTTAATCTTAAAAATGTATATGATAAATTGGTTTATTAAATTGATAGATTTTATCTGAAACTGAATATACTTTGAGGATAATTTAATACATTATATTAAGATTTTTTATAAATATCATATATATATTATATATATATATATATATATCAGAGACACTATTTTATAGATATATAATTATATATAACTTATATAAAATAATTTATTAATAATTATTATATACAAAATGAGGACAATTTAACCACTTAAATTAAAATTTCACAAAATAAGAGAAAAACAATGAAAGTAATGTGTACTCAGTATCATGATTTTTTTTTATAAATTATAAAATATATTGCATTTTGTTTAGGTTATATATATATATATATATATATATACACATAATATACATATTTAAAATAATGTACAATCATATAAAATATGGAAATTGTTACACAGAAAACAACAGGTATTTATAAAATAGATTGCATTTTGTTTAGTTTTATATATATATTTATATTTAAAATAATGTACAATCATATAAAATATGGAAAATTGTTACATAGAAAACAACAGGTATTTAGTTTTCAGTTTTTTCATACTGCCAGTTTTTATACGATATAGTTTAAGGGGGTTTTAAAAGCACTAATATCTGCCAAAACAATATTGTCTCTTATATATCATGCATTATAAATGCAAACAGCATGAGAGAGGTTCACTGCGAACGATCGTCTCACCTTGTACATAAAGGCTTTCCAGGGCAGATGAGCGACTGATTTCATCTGTGAACACAAATGCATTGATTACAAACCCAAACATGAATCAAGCATCATTTCATGACTCTGAATGGACGAGGTATTTTAGACTCAACAAACCTTGTAATTTACAAAGAGTTGAGGCAGCATAAAGAGGAATCCGAAGGCGTACACTCCTGAACGACAACAACAATTACATTTCCATCTTTAATGTTTCTAAATCACTAAATCAGTCGAATAAAGCTACAAAATGCCACTTACCGTTGACTAAACTGTTAATAATCCAGGAGTACCAGCTGTGTGCAAACACATCAAATATTAATCAGTTGTGCACCTCAAATAACTTTTTCAGCATAACATGTTTTAGCAAATGTGACTCTTCACCTTTTGTACTTGACGAAGACGAGAGCGTAGCCGGCGCCGCCGAGGCACAGAGGATACAGCAGATAGGACAGGTACTTCATCGCCTGAGGGACAAACCAGATTCAAACGTGCCATACTGAGATTTATCAGCACATAATCATAAGACTGCGTTCTGGAGCTTGTGCTCACCAGTGTGTCATATTCCCCTGTTCGTTTCTCAGATTCGTCCTGTTTCCCAAACTGAAGGACACATCGGGAACAATTCACAGTTAGAGAATCATCACTGCTTTTAGTAACAAGACCATTCAGAGCAATAAAGAAGAGAAACCATAACGGTTTACCAGGAATGTGGGAGTCAAGCCCCTCCATATGACGTGGATTTTAAAAGCCTTTTTCACTTTCCACACCTGAAATTAATATACAAACATAATTTGTGTCAAGTAGATTGAAAGAAATCTGCAGTAAAAAGCACGAAAACAGGAGTGAGACTGACTGTACCTCTATCAGAGAGCCGACCCCAGCGGGAATCAGGACCAGGAGACTCGTCTGCTCGTCCAGCAGATACAGGAAGATCACGATAGTGCTGAAACACCTCCACAGCACTGACACACACACACACACACACACCTCACATCAGCACAGGCGCACACATCCAACAGTCTGATACATGCTAACAAACTCACTGAGCGATCGCGGCCATGCTGTGATAACCGATGCAAACCATGTCTGATTATTATACACATTTATGAATACCTATAAAATAAAAAAAATAAAATAAAAAATGAAACTGTATATACCTTGAGGATAATTTAATAAATGTTAATATTACATTAATTTATATTAATAAAATATTTATATTTATCTTAATTATTATATTATTATTCATATTTTAAATATGTATTTTTATTTTATTTATTTATATATATATATATATATATATATATATATATATATATATTACATTATACTGTATATATGATTATTTATGACATTTGAGTAAAAATAAAATGTAACAATTATTTAAATAAACAAATACATTATTAAAAAAACTTAATTATTAAATAATTAAAACAATTATTTAAGAATGTAAATTATTACAAAATTAAAAGCCATATCTAAAAACTGTATATACTTTGAGGACAATATGATAGTGATTATTATATTAATAAAAATATACATAATATGTATATATATTATATACCGGTATATTTTTTTATTAAAATTATTTTTATTAAAATCATTTTTGTTAAAATTATATATAAATACAATAATTGATACAAATTTGTATAGTTATTATGTATAATATACATATTTCAGGTGAATTTTACCACTTAAATTTAACTTTGACAAGATAACAGAAAAATAAACAGCCTTTCACTTCCTCAACAACACTTTGCATGTATTCGTGTGAAAGGAGGGTTCTAGTTCACAAACCGGCTTTGCTCGACATTCCCACCATGCTCTTCTTGTGCTTCCAGAAACTGATGTCATTTTTGAATGCCAGGAAGTCAAACAAAAGCTGGACAGAAACACAGTAATGTATGAAATATGAACCCGCTCAGACTCGATTAAGACGATATGATCGGTGTAAATCACATGATCTTACATGGAAAGCGGCCACAAAGAAGGTGAGGGCGAGGAAATACAGGTTAGTGTCCACAAATATTCCCTTGATTTCATCCGCATCCTTTTCAGTGAAGCCTAAAATACAAAGGAAAAATATCCCTGGGACTTTTATTTCCAATATTAATGTGATTTTACATAATTAAAGTGTTTATCAGTCAGATAAATAAATTATATGACATGATGGACATATAAATTATCTAAATGAATAATATTATTATTAATACATTTGATTCACTACATTTGATATTGCTTTTGATATTTCACATATTTTATGAAGTAATAAACCACTTAAGGCCACGCAATTAATCAGGTTTTTTTTATGTTTGAATTTTTGCATACTACATTTTTGAATAAATATAGTATAAAATAATTGTTCTCAGAAATTTAACAAGTTTCTGTACATCTTGTTTAATAATACTTATTAAAATGCTTATATATATATATATATATGCATATATCAACCCTATTACATTTTTTTTTTGCATGTGTAAGTATGTGTGTTCATACATATAAATATAAGCAGTTTAAAAACCCTATTAAAAATCATTTTTAAAAAAATCATTGTGGCCCTTAATTTCACATCAAACCATTTAATTTTAATAAGAGTTTAATAACAAAATAAATATTTTTTTTGCATGTATATAAGTATGTCTCTATTTACAGGGAATTTATCAAGGTTTAAATGGTTTTACGTGAAATTAAGGGCCAAAATGATTAAAAAAATTAAAAATTAATAGGGTTATTAAAATGCTTATAATCATTTTAATAACCCTATTCTTTTTTTTTAAAACATTGTGGCCCTTAATTTCACATCAAACCATTTAACTTTGATAAATTCCCTTTAACACAGCCTTGCATGGCTTATTGCTTAAATTACCCATGTGTTGCAGTGAACACATGGGTAATTCAAGTCCCAGGGATATTTTTCCTTACCGAACTGTTGCAGTGAAAAGACGGCGTCCTGCATGTGTATCCAGAAGCGCAGTTTCCCCAGAGCGATGGAGTCGTACGAGATGGTCAGAGGCAGTTCAGTGGAGCTGCTGTTGATTTCCTGCAGTAAACAGTCACACACACACACACACACACACACGTTCACTACAGGAGATAAGAGAAGACAGCTGGGTAATGTAGAGAATTAAAGACGCAGTACCATCAGATCCTTCACTCGGTTACTGAGCTCGTCCACAAACAGCAGCGGCAGGTAAATCATCTTCCTGCCGTTCTGATACCTGAGGACAGAAACACATGAAAATCATGACCAAAATCTTGAGATATGAGATTTATCATCCCAAAACCTGTATAATCACACATCTCTATGTATAAAAGTTACATATATATTATATCTAACTTTATCCTCATACAGGTGAAACTCAAAAAATTTGAATATCGTGCAAAAGTTCATTTATTTCAGTAATTCAACTTAAAAGCTGAAACTAATATATTATATAGACTCATTACATGCAAAGTGAGATATTTCAAGCCTTTATTTGTTATAAATGCGATGATTACGGCTTACAGCTTATGAAAACCCCAAATTCAAAATTGGAATATTGTAAAAAGGTTTTCATAAGCTGTAAGCCATAATCATCAAAATTATAACAAATAAAGGCATGAAATAACTCACTTTGCATGTAATGAGTCTATATAATATATTAGTTTCAGCTTTTAAGTTGAATTACTGAAATAAATACTGAACTTTTGCACGATTTTCGAGTTTCACCTGTACATACAACACTTTAGCAAATTTAAGTTTCCTGATTTTTTTTATATCGTTGCAAAATGTAATTATATCATCATCCAGATCTTTATATAAAGTTGGATATACTATAAGTATGTCAAAGTTTATCCACACACATACACTACACTTGCATAGAGCGATATATAGTATATAGCAAATCTCAAATGCTTGATTGCTTGTAACGTCGCAAAATGTAACCATATGATCATCCGGCTCTTATGTGCTAAATTTGACCATACAAGGCATGAAGATATTAATATATTATAAACATTAACATCATGACTTTCTGTAAAGCTGCTTTGGAAGTGTGTGTTTTGTGAAAAGCGCTATAATAACAATACCTTCTATTTATAGGCACCTTTCAAGGACACCGTACAACATTAAAGTAAATCAGTAAAATACAAAGCTATGTATGCAAACACAGACATACAGATCAAACATAAAATCAACAAATCAAATCACTTAAAGCTATTATAAACTGATCAGTTTTAATCTGAGCTTTAAAAAGGGAAATTGCAATAAATTTGACGTGGTAAAATCCCTGTAACACCTGGCAACTCTCTCACGGCGTGTTGTTGTATCGTGAAAGAGCCGCTGGATGTGTATGATATGAAGAACTCACACTCTCATGTAGCGGTGCACGTCTCCAGGAAGAGCCTCTCGATCAAACTGGAAGTTTTCGGACACGACGTTCAGCGTCAGACGAGAGCGCCAGTGAGAGACGGGCCGCTCCGGATCCGACTCGCTGCTCTGCTTTTGCTGATCCGGACTCTGGATAGCAATCGGATTCATTGATATAATGCAAACACAGCTCTTTGTTCAGGATCAAGAAGTGACCCAGCAAGCAATTTTGCGTTTAAAGGGATACTTCACCTCTGGAAAGATGAATGTGTATTTAAAATGGGTCATTTATGTAGAAGAAATGTGAAATTATTTTTGAATTTGGAGCTTTCTAGACTGAGAAAAGCCAGAAAATGTATTTTTGGCTTATGTGGATGAAAGACAACAACTCCCAGAATGCACTTGCTTCACTGCCCTAGGAGGCCACGCCTACCGGTAACAAAGTGCAGTAGTTAAACAACAAGTCTAGGCTACTAGTGAGTCTCTGTGATGAGTCTGCCGCCGAAAATGTGTTTCGAGATCGCCCAAAATGTCCGGGATTCGGCTTTTGCGTTCTACAGTCGCCATTCATCATGTTTACTGTGGCGAGCAGGACGAGTGAGGGCCGCGGGAGAACGGCACGAGGCCGGTGGCGTGATTACTGATGAGCGACACCTGTGAGACGCACTGGTCTTCTTAGCAATGTTAAAACGCACATCAACCGATCACTTGTTTAGCGCTCATGTAAACACTACATTCAGATTCACCAATCGGAATGAATTCAGTTAGATTGAAACAAAAGGTGTGCATGTAAACAATGAATGGCGACTGCAGAAAGCAAAAGCTGAATCCCGGACATCGACGGCCGGACATGTCCGGGAAAAAGAGGATGGTAACCCCTACTCAGGGCCGTCGCTAGTGGGGTGAAAGGTGGTGACAATTATAGGGGCCCCCGCTGCCCAGGGGGCCCCAAAAAATCCAGCAGTTATACTATTTAGGCCCCTGTAGTATGAATAATTCTAATATTTATATTAGTTGTATGCCTGAGATTTAAATGAAAACCACAAAAACGTGCAATTTGGTTAAATATTTTTCCAAATATCTGCTTCTCTTACCTCCATAAAAATGGTTTAGTCCGACCTAAAGTATTTATTAATTATTCAGTCAGAGTCAGTGACAAACATCAGATGGACCCAATAAAATTGTAAGTCCCGCCCCAGCTCGTGAACAGAACCAATCAGAGTTGAGGCGGCAGAACCTGAAGTTAATGATGAACTTGGTGGAAGAGCAGGAGACTGACTGACTGAAAAATGTCGGGGAAAAGGAAACATAAATCAGGGAACCAGAAATGCCAGGAAAAGACGGAGAGGGAGGCAAGGAGAGTGGTTGTATCCCAGTCGATCAAGACGTTCTTAAAGCCCGGTAATATTGTTATTTCTCTGGGAATTAGAAAACTTCCGTCTAAAGTCTGTCGTGTACAGTCATTTTTTATTATCGTTGCGCGCCGCAATCGACCGAATGATTACGTGGTCTAAATTCCTGTCTTTTTACACTATTGTAACTAGAGTTTTAAAAAAATTACACGAGTCACGACGCATTGCATTATGCATCTGACCTGCCGGCTGATGATATTTAAAACATAGAGAAAACACGAATACAACACACTGCACTTGGATGAATAAATGTATTCGCTTTATTTAATAATATTACCAGTTCCATATTATCTTTATTAAAAAATAAGACAATGAATGGTTTTATTTTTTGAATTAGACTGCATTCTTGTCAATTTCTAAATGTTTACTTTTTGATTTATGAATTATAACAGACTGATGGGGAAAAAAATATTACTTTTTAAAAATTGGTTTTATTATTATTTAACAATTTCTTGCTTTTTTATTAGTTGTAATTTTTATATAAACATTTAACTTTTAAAATAAAGGTTTTACAACAACATCACCATCTTCTGTTATGTGGGCCTCCATGTTCATCTATTGTACAGTATATGATATTGGTGGAGGGTGGTGGGGGCCCACATCAATATTTTTTCAGGGGGCCCCGAATCCTCTAGCTACGGCCCTGCCCCTACTACTCAGCTTTCTCCACAGAACAAGAGCCTGCTAGCTTAGCTTAGCTTCCAAAAAAAGTTGTCTGACACTATGTGTACATTCTGTGAGTGAGATCCCACCCTCTATGGGCGGGTTGAGAGCATGCGGGACAGCCCCTACTACTGGCTGTAGTCTTTAGCCTCTGGACAAAAAATCCTCCGATGACGCAAAATGACGATTTTTGCGTCATCGGAGGATTTTTTCCAGACAAAAAATACATAAATCTCTCGTCTCAGGGGGATATGAGGGTGGAAAGCACATATTCTTGGGCTATGATTCAGATGCTATTAGACTTTCACTGACAACCCAAATTTTTCCTTGTTTTATAAAACGGATACCGCTAGTTACGTTCCTTGATTCTGATTGGTTGAGCCGCATTCAAAGCCGTTGTAAATGACTCAAACACACACCTGTGACCGCATTAAATTAGTGTTACACACACACACACACCTGTGACCGCATTACATTAGTGTTACACACACACACACACACACCTGTGACCGCATTACATTAGTGTTACACACACACACACACACACACACCTGTGACCGCATTACATTAGTGTTACACACACACACACACACTCCTGTGACCACATTACATTAGTGTTACACACACACACACACACACTCCTGTGACCGCATTACATTAGTGTTACACACACACACACACCTGTGACCGCATTACATTAGTGTTACACACACACACACACACCTGTGACCGCATTACATTAGTGTTACACACACACACACTCCTGTGACCGCATTACATTAGTGTTACACACACACACACACACTCCCGTGACCGCATTACATTAGTGTTACACACACACACTCCTGTGACCGCATTACATTAGTGTTACACACACACACACACACACACCTGTGACCACATTACATTAGTGTTACACACACACACACACCTGTGACCACATTACATTAGTGTTACACACACACACACCTGTGACCACATTACATTAGTGTTACACACACATACACACCTGTAAGCGCATTACATTAGTGTTACACACACACACTTCGTTGCTGCATGTGTTGCTTGGCAACCTCTTCGGAACTACATTTCTTGGCGGAGGAATAAATGTGTTACAATATAACGTTATATTTTTTGTTGCTGGTGTTTATTTTAAGAATAAAATAAATATTAAAATGAATATTTTTAGGAGTAACCGTTTTATAAAAGCAATAAACCCCTTGAAGCCGTGATTTACAGTGAATTTAGAACAGCTAAGGGGGTTTTAGGCACTAAACGTCGTAGCTAACAACGCTAAATCCACTGTAAATCACGGCTTCGCGGGGCTTTTTGCTTTATTAGACGTCTGGGCTGTGTTTGGACGGCTATTAAACAGAAGATTGCTTGCTGGGATGTTTGCTGGGGGTGCAGCTCACCTGTGGGTCGTCCTGTCCCGTGATCAGGCTGATCTCGGGAGGCTTCGGCATCATGTATGTGGTCAGTTGCGTGACTAGATGCACCTGATGCGGATCCTGCCATGGCGTGACTCCAGCCTGGTGCACAAACACCATAGCGTACAGCGTGCCGTTCTTGCGTGTCTTCTTCGGCAAAGACACGTTAATTAACCTTAAAAAGACAGAAGTATAACTGTGAGAAAGCCAATCTGGTGAGCAATAGTTGTCCAGAAAGCACACAAATGAAGCCCTACAGGACAGCAATGCAGAGTAACAGTGATGTGATGAGTTACTACTGTAGATCCCATGGCTTTCCTGTACCTCTCAAACCTGGTGTTCACATCAAACTCTTCCTCTCTGTGGATCAGACTGTGTCCTCCGTCAGCGTTCGGTCTCAATGCAGTGTAGACGCTGAGCTGAAGAAACACATACAATATATCACTGTTATTGCATATATTCCTATTGTTTACGGAAATATATTTTGTACTGTATAATGCTGATTATATATGTCTGCTAATTTTCAAACTGGAGTCCATGGGGAAAAAATTAAATGCAAATAAATAAATAAATTATTATCTAAATAAATAAATAGGGTTATAATTATATTAAATAAATAAGATCATATTAAAATAAATAAATAAATTAATAGAAATTGAATTAGAATAAAATACATAAATTAAATATAAATAAATAAATTAAATAGATGAATACAAATTATATTTAAATAGATAAATAAATAAATAAAATGTATAAATTATAAAATATATATATTAATCAAATAAATAAATGCATTTTAGATTAAAAAAGAAATAAAAAACATATATATTAAAATTTTACTTCTAACTTTAATTAACTTCTATATAAATAAAAAGACAAATAAATTATGGATAAATGAAATTGAAAAGAAATTATATAAAACATCGAACAGTACAGTGCTATAATGAGTAGAAAAAATTAATAATGAACTTAATAGAAACTAAATATTTCCCAATTCAAATTTTAGACAGAGAAACTATATACATTCAATTTTTGAAAATGAAGATGATCGGGGGTCCGTGACATCTAAAAGATTGAAAACACCTTTCTCACATTTAATATTACATGAATTAATATTTATGTTATTTATTATTTTTTAGTGCGCATCGTTTGATATATAGTATGTCCACCCATTAAGACCTGCATAGGCCTGTTTTCAGTGGTTTCACATGCATTGTTTATAAGATAAGTTGTAAATACACACATATAACAGCAGCGCATGAGAGTCTCACCTGCAGTCGAGGTTTGCCGGCCAGGTAAGGTGAGATACAGCTGTCAGTTCTGGGGTTTTCGCAGGGTTTAGTGTACACAATCCCATACATGACCCAACATGTGTGCAGCACATACAGGAGGAACACCCCCACGATCAGGCTCGTGAACGAGGCTTTAGGAAACATCATCACTGCATCAATGCCAGCACACAGATTCAGTGGACAGACCTGAGCAGATGCTGCTGATCAACATGCTGTTTGGACGGGAAATAATGATGAAGAACAGGATTAGATCAGCTGTCAATCAGTCCTGGTGCACTGCCACTAACACACGTCACTCTAAACACACACATTATAACATCTGCAGTCTGTTATTCTGAAGTTTGATCCGGGTTTCACTCCAGCATCCTCAGAAATCCCGTGTAAAGTCATCGGCGATTCCTCATGATGTAACGCACGCGTTTAATTCCTTTAATTTATCCCTCGATTCAATTTTGACGTGATGTTTCAATGAGCGCTCATTTCCGGGATTCACTTCCTGTTGCGGGGTTGCCAGATTTGATCAACTCAACTATTTAAATCGCAAATAATTTTGCTGTTTTGACCAAAAAAAAACAATGTAAGTTCGGTAAAACCTTTAAAAACTATTTATTACGACACTTATTCGGAGGTCCATAATCCAGACGTTGATATAAAGACTTTTAAATGTATTATCATAATAAAAAATGTAATATAAAATAATATTCAACCTCATTTTTATTCACATAATATATTAGTTACGATTAAAGTTACATATAAATAAGATTTTATACGTATTTTCTATTATGTGTAAATATTCTGTTGATTGTGGGAGTGTAGTGGCAACACTTGCATCGAGTGTTCTGCTTCCGCTTCGCACAGGAAGTGATTCCTCTCATTGCTCTGGTAGCGTCCGACGCTTTTTAGTCGTTTTGCGCTATAATTTTTTCTCACTTCGGTGGAGGATTTTCACTCAAAGTCCACCGCCAGCATGAAACTCGTCAGGTAATAAACTTCTATAGGTCTCATATAATCAATATCCACAAAGTATCTGCAACGACATGCAATATAATTGAATGGATGGCGTCAGATTTTATGTAGCTGTTGGTTAGCTGTTAGCTTCAACAGGCGGGAATGAATGAATGTGTTTGTTTGTTTGAATTTCTGCCATTACTGGTATGTTTTAAACGCAGCTGTGTGTTTAATTTACATGTCGTGGGTTTATCCCTGGATTTATGAAATCATGCATTTGGGACATTAGTTTGTAGGAGCTGGGCCTTACATTTAACAAACGCAGCAACAAAAACAACCATTTTTAAACGCCAGTAACATTTGATGTAGCTTTTACTACAGATGCAATCTGCTAAATACAAATATTCCATATTATTATGCAAATATTATACAATTAAGTGCATAGGTTTAAACTAAGTTCAATTACGCAATCAAGTTTCCTACAAATATTATGATAAAACAATGAAGACTCTTTGTATACACGTTAGTGAATTTGACGAAATGCCTCAAATGTGATGTTAGTAAGTTACTACTGTAAGATCTGTTTGTTGTTATGATGAATATGTGCTTCAGTCTTTGTTTTTGGTTGTAATCCCACAGGTTTTTGATGAAACTGAGCCATGAAACAGTCACCATTGAGCTGAAGAATGGCACACAGGTTCATGGCACCATTACAGGTAATTATGATTTAAAATAATGCTAAGTGGGACAAAATATTAGTTATTACACTGGTCTCAAGGTATCTGCTTCAAATTTGTGTTTAAGAAGAATTCTTAAAGGGATAGTTCACCCAAAAATAAAAATGATCCCATAATTTACTCATCCTAGGTGTATATGACTTTCTTCTTTCAGCTGAACACGGTTATAATAAATAATATCTCGGCTCTTCCCAGCTTTGTAATGGGAGTGAATAGAGCCTGAGTTTTTGAAGCTATCATAAAAGTAATGCATACGACTCCAGTGGGTTAATAAAGGCCTTCTGAAGGGAAGCTATTGTAAGACAAATATCCATATTTAAAACTTTATAAGCTATAATCACTGGCTGTACACGCGTTCACGAGAGAGTCAAGTTCTGATGGAAGGATGACCTCTGACCCCACCTACAATATAGGTGTAGCGTAAGCTCAGGAGAGAATTTACAAACACAGAAGTGCAGAGGATAGAGCCAGACAAAACACTGGTCACGAATTCAGAGTCTAAAACAAGAAAAATGTCAAGAGGTTTTTGATATAAGAGAAGAGGAGCTACGTCATACGTGGGGTCAAAGGTCACTCTTCCGCCTGGACTCGACTCTCAAACTCTGAACGCGTGTACGGCCGTTGCCGGACGCCAGTGATTATTGCTTATAAAGTTTTAATTATGGATATTTTTCTCACAAAACGCATCGCTTTGCTTCAGAATGCCTTTATTAATCCACTGGAGTCGTATGGATTATTTTTATGATGGATAGATGTGCTTTTTTGGAGCTTTAAAAACTATTGATTATTCAATGCCATTCTAAATCTGGGAATAGCCAGGATATCTTTTAATATAACTCTGATTTTGTTAATCTGAAAGAAGAATGTCATACATCTAGGATGGCGTGAGGGTAAATTATGGGAGATTTTTGAGTGTTCTATTACTTTAAGTTGAACGATGGCTTTACACTTTCTCTTTGAATCGTATGAACAGGTGTGGATGTCAGTATGAACACTCACCTCAAAGCTGTGAAGATGACCCTGAAAAACAGAGAACCCACTCAGCTGGAGTCCCTCAGCATCCGCGGCAACAACATCCGCTATTTCATCCTGCCGGACAGTCTTCCTCTGGACACGCTGCTGGTCGACATCGAGCCGAAAGTCAAGTCAAAGAAGAGAGAGGCTGGTGAGTTATGGAAAATATCATCTAAACTGACCGACTTTGAAAATCAGGCATTGATTGATTTATTGTCTATGACAATGTATAATTGTTTTCTTCTCCTCCTTGCAGTTGCTGGCCGCGGTCGAGGAAGAGGACGGGGTCGTGGCAGAGGAAGAGGACGTGGTCGCGGTGGGCCGAGGAGATGAACATCTCAAGCCACTGTACATTAGTGCGCTTTGTACAGCATTTTTTTGTTCTTTATTTGGAGAATATTTTGATTCTGACTTGTTTGCATTTTGTACATTAAATTCATTTCTTTTGAAAGCTGTTTTGAGTCTTTTGTTTAAGTGCTGAGCTGTTTGTGCTAATACAAGGCCAGTGATGATTCTGGTTATTTTTCCACATTCTTATCAATAAACTGCTTCATTTAACTTGTCTAGTTGTGTACTGAAGAATGTTCTTTTTTTATTATTTTTTTTATAATGGCTAGTGTTGGGGTCTGGTAATATTTTTTCAAAAAGTGAGTTTAAACATGACTTAAATTAAATTGCTGTTCAGTTTATTCAGTGTATTTGTTGAAGTTGCTACTGAAAACCTTTCCGTTCACCATCACCTATCCTGAGTGTGCCGGTCATGGGAACTTGAAGTACAAGGGTTAGGTGGTTACAATTTTAATAAAACGCTTTCTATAGCTAAGACACTTTTCTCATGTTCATATTTCTGGAAACTGTAATTTAAAATGTCTTTACATTTGTAAAACATTTCTTTGGCTTAAAATTAATGTACCCCAACATTTACTAAACGTCGCTTTTACACCTTTCTAGTTTTAGCGCGAAAGAGTGGGACTTTTATTTTGAAAATTGTGGTCGTTACGCCGCAGGGGGCAGTTCTCCTGAGTCGATTCAAACCTTTTTGCGTTTTGTTGTTCAAAATGATCATTCTTTGTTAGTTATCATTAATTGTATTTTTACCAAATACAGTGAACAAAATTGTTCGCAGTTCCCACATCAGTATAATTTTTTTAATTTTTCTTGTAAAAGATTCCGAGTCATTCATTTCTAAAGAATCGGCTCACAGGAACGAGTCTATAGCGAAGGCTATGAAAGTCCAGTCCTCAGGGCTTGTTTTTGACGCGCTTGTTTTTCCCGTCACATCTCTATAAGCATGGCGTTAGTGAATATGTCATCCAGGGGTTTTTTCATGTATTTTGCTTATGGCAGTAATTTACTGAAAGAGAGACTACAACTGAAAAATCCATCAGCTGTGTTTCACTCCGTCGGCAGGATACAGGTAAACAAACACATAATTTGATGAATAATTACCATATTATTCTATCAATGAAAGGACATAAGCACATAGTACAACAAACTTATATCCACATAGAAGTCGAGTCTACGTTACATTTACCTTGGTAGTAGCCTACCAGGTCCCTAGTGAGTGTTACTGCGATAAAATTGTGGAGAAACTTAATTTGTCACTCACTGTCATAAAAACAACCAATTAAAAATAAAATAGAAAGGTTTTGTAAGGAAATTGTATTTTAAAACAATCTTTACCATGGTAAATGTGTGTGCATTTAAAAAAAATAATCTATGTAATTACTTGTACAAAGACCCCATTTATACTGTGAATTATATTATATGTCTAAATTATTTACACAGTACACTGATATGACGAATAGAACCTTTTAAGGTAACACTTTAGAATACGGTTCCTTCGTTAATGAATAACTACACAGGAACAAATGAGTAACACAATATTAACAATCTAGTAACTACTATTAACTAACAAGAAATTCTGATTAACAAATTAGTAATTAACAGCGCACAGATGAAAGTGGTAGTTCACTATTAACTAATCAATAACTAGGCTACTTTTTTTTTTTAATGCTTCCCAGAGAACTACTGTAAGAATCATGGTAACTAACTAGTAATGACTCAAGTGTTACTACATACTTACATACTGTGTCCCAGGACTACAGGCTGGATTTCGGTCTTTGGGGCGACTGCACGGACTGCTCTTGGCACGGTGGAGTCGCATCCATACAGGAGAGTGAAGGGGACGAGGTGTGGGGGGTCGTGTGGAGGATAGACGACCAAAACCTGCCCAGTTTAGACCGGTGAGATCACCTGCCATTGTGATGACTGCCAAAATCACTTGTATTTACAGTATTGTATCAGTATTGTATTGGATATTGCACCCTTTCCACAGAATAAGAACAAACTCAAATCAGTATTTCATGTCAATTTATTTATTTTGTAAGTAGCTGTGTAACATGCTTGTTTACTGCACATTATCTTCTATAACATTATACATATAGTGGAAAAGTTAATTGTTTTGTAGGGTACAACAGGGATAAAGGCACACCTTAAGAAAAATGCGCTTTTTACTAATCCAATAGTGTATGATAGAATACACTTAAATGTGTGTATCAAAGTTTTGATACAAAACTGAAGTAAAATGTTTTGAATAAGTTAATAATTGTACGAAGAATTAGAATTTTCCTGTTTTATTGTAAAAAATTTTTTATATATATTTATATATTATTTGCTGCAGTTGTATATTTGTAATGGTTTGTGCCATACTCTCTTGGAGCTCTACTATTACTAATTGAGTTCAGCTGATTATTGCTAATTTGTAATATACAAAGAAAAGGGCGAATGTTTGTTGTAATGTGAGCACTGAAGAAAAAAATTGTGCTGAAACTTCTCCTCATGCTTGTCTAGCTTTAAATTCATGTGCACCTTGCACTTTTTGCACCATGCAGTTTATAAAATAAATACAAAATTGCAAGACTTAATTAGCCTTAAATGAATTCAGTCTTTGCTCAGCAATTTTCTTGTTTGTTTGCAAAGTACAGAAACAAAATTATATAAAAAAGTAAAGATTCTGAAAGCATTGAATGAGATCCCATAATAATTTAAAATAGCTTTACAGTAGTAACAACAAATTATATTTTATTATAATATATGATTAATATCACATTTTTAAATGATTGGTTTTTATTATAAATATGATGATTATCTCTAAGGTGGACACCCAAATTAATATATGAATTTTACCATCTGAATGAACCATGAACCATATCAACAAATGGAAAAGTCAGCCATATTATCAGTTCATTTTTGTGCCCCATGCTTTTACATATTCTGTTATTGAAAAAATGTTGGTTTATTTTACATTGAACAAAACTGAAAAAACATTTTTTCTCAAAATATAGTCAACAATTTTATAGATTTTCATATACTACATAAATCTACAACATTTTAAAAAACATTAAATATTAGATTAAATTAGCGCAGAATCAACTTTGCCTTGCTGTCCAGTGTCCACCATAGATATACATAATAAAGGCTAGATGTCTCGTCCGCGCTGCTGGCCAATAGAGGTCGACGTCCGCACCTGGCGGCCATCTTGCCACAGGCAGCTCGCTCACCAGTAACATTGTGTTTTAATGGTGCATGTACTTTTTAAATAACCATAACTTGCTGGATTTTCTACCGTTTTTCAAACGGTTTGGTTTGTTATAAACGTCAGAGATGTAGTTATGCATACTTATGAACAATAAGTGTATAAATAAATAATCATCCAGAATTATAGCCACGTTAACGCTTGTAAGAAACCAAATTGTTTGTAAATCCGTCAAGATTTCAACGAGATAAGAGTATTTGTGTTCGTGCGGATCACTCATCTTACGTCAGGCACCACAGAGCCCGCCAGAAAGCTTGCCTGTGACAAGATGGCCGCCGGTGATGACGATAGAGACTCCGCCGTAAGACATCTAGCCTTTATTATGGATATCTATGGTGTCCACAATCCCGTCAAGGATCAGCCAGATTTTTATGCGCATCTTCAAAAATGGTTGTTAAAAAAAGTGCTGAGGTGAACTTTTGTGCCATCTAGTGGTTTGAAGAAGATTAAAGACAAATGAGTCTTTTACCCCGGTGTGCCTTTAGCCCCTCTGTAACCTACATAAAATAGCATACACATGCATGTGCTTCAGACAGGAACAGGTTCATGAAGGAGTGTATAGCCCATTAGAGGTCAAAGTAGAGACAAAAGAGGAGCTGGTACTCTGCCGGACGTACAAGATGAACAATTTCAGACCCTGTCCAACTTCACCACAGTATAAAAAGGTACATTTTACTGCCCATCATAAGCCTGACTGACCAAAACAAATCATAACTGGATTATGTGCTTTAATTGGAGATTAAGATGTTCCCAATATACGTGTGTTTTAACCTATATTGGTTTAAAGGGGTCCTATTATGCTTTTTCACTTTTTCAACTTTAGTTAGTCTGTAATGTCGCTGTTTGAAGATAATAAAAGACCTGTAAGGGCACAAAGTCCACTCCAAAGGGAGATATTTTATTTAACAGAATCCACTTTCCAAGAACTACAACTAACGACTAGTTTTGACTGCGACAGCTTTGTTTTTTCTTAATCTTATGAAGTCACAATGTTACTCATTTAAATAATCTCTGCCCACGGAATACGCAAAAAAGGGGGTGAGGTCTGGTTGAGAAGATGGCAAAGAGAGTCTTTTTTTTCACCCTGTTTCCAAAACTCACTGGTTTAACAATCCTATGGCTGGCGAACTTAGAGAGATTAAAACTGATTTTGAACACTGTTCCTGAACATTATAACCCCAACGAGTTACAATGCAGGCTACACACAAGCTTCTCTTGAAACGAAACAGTTTTGTCGGGACAATCTGTTGTTTTGTGGATCACAACTTGTAAGTTCGTCTTATTTTTTCTAGTTGCGTTTTCTATTAACAGTTCCAAAATAAGTTTTATGTTTTATTTACACCTGATCAGATGCTCGCAGTTATGGTAAGGGGCGTGATATTTCCAGAATGCGCTAAGTGGTGCCAATAACAACACATTATCACAAATTTCATATTTCGGAAGGAGGGGCTTCATCGAAGCAGGAAATAAACAGCGCGCTCGGGCCAGACTGTGGAGAGAGGTGTTGTAATAATGTTAAAGCTGCAGTCCGTAGCTTTTTTTGGGTTAAAAATGATCCAAAATACATATTTGAGAAAATACACAACCAGCCAGTGTTCAAAACTCTCTGCTTGCCTTAGCTCGATTCAGAGCGGTAAGCTTGTAATAATGTTTTTAACTCCAGTGGTCCTGGTGGATTTCCACGGGAGATTCAAGCATGTCTTTGCATCATTACGTCACATCTGTACACACACATCTGTACACACACATCTGTACACATAAAGAAGAGTCTCGGCTAGTATAAACTATATTGCGTGTGAGGATCCTGGAGGTGGAGATTTATAGCCTTTTCTCACAGCACTTGGTATAATTAAACTTATCAATTTGATGGCGGATCCAGAAAGGTTCAAACGACAATCACCAGTTACAACAGATTCACCCGCTGTAAAATCCAAAAGACTTCGTTCGGACTTCAGAGTGGCTACAGAAAAAAAGAGACTGCAACCGGACCCGTGCGAAAACAAGGATACATATCGGAAGGACATTACAAGTAGTCACGCAATGCTGACGTTGAGAACAAAGTCTAATTTGCATGGTTTTGATTGACAGCTGCACACTCTCCTCAAACAGCCGCGCTTCATTGTGTTCATCCGCGCTGTGCCGTGTCGAACTACAACTCACATAAAGTTGATAATTCCGCGAATAAGTGCAATTGCAAATTTCGAACAGAGATGGCGACAAAGAGGAAAAACTGCGGACTGCGGCTTTAAATATGTGCATTTAAAAAAAAAAAATTTTTACAATCAAGCATGAAAGCATATTCTAGTACATCGGTTCCCAACAGGGGGGTCGGGGCCCACAAGGGGGCCCCAGCGAGCTCTGTGGGGGGTTGTGTCATATTTTGAAAAGTTTTGAGCAATGAGTATTAAATAAAAGTCCTTAACTTTTTTCTGTTCAAAATTTACAAAATTTATATAATGAGCGAATTCATCATGAATCCATTTTCCAATCCGTGTTTTTGTCTTATCCTGAACCACTATGGTACACCTATAATAAGTGTTTACATTGGGACTATTTTACACTGGTTCGGATCGCTGCCGCTGCGGAGTAGCCCAGTGCCTGCGTGACTCGTCATAGACGTACACAGAGAGAACTAGTTCGAGCTACAATGTTCTTCCCAAAGACGCATTATTCTGTTAATAAACGCAAGTTTATTATCGCTCGCTAAAGCGCCAAAAGCTTAAAAAATAAATCCTCACATTGATAAACCTCACAAATAACATGCAAGTATTGAGGCCCCAGACAGCAGTCATTTAGTAATAGCCTATATTCTTTCTCTTTTTTTACCTACACACTAGTGTGAATATATGTTTGCATTTCAAATAGGGCCAATTTATAGGCTACTCCTAGGCTTACGTTTTTAAATTACAAAGGGCCTACTGATGTTTTTGTTTATTGTATTTTCAAAATTATAGGCTATTATTTGTGCATAAACATATCTGGCTATAGTAATACCGTTTGTTTGAAAACAACATATTTTTTCATCCTTGCTGCAAGCTTACAAGAGCGAAAATATAATTAAATGTGAAGGGGGGCCCTAAAATATTTTCTTTGGAAAAGGGGGGTCTCAGACAAAAAAAAGGTTGGGAACCACTGTTCTAGTACACCCCAAAAACAAAATAAAGACTTCGTAAAAGGGCATAATACGACCCCTTGATGATTTTAGACTATTAACATCTATGACTGTCGAGTTGCATGACAATCATGAAAAGTGTCAATGATGAATCTCTTATTCATATGATTGTTTATCTCGTCCTATTCTTCATCTAGGTTGTGTGTTTAGGGGCTCAACGGAACGGCTTGCCTCAAAATTACATTCAGAAGCTTTTGGCATTGGAGACAAACAACTACAGCGGCACTTCCATACTGGACCAGATTACAGACATCGAGAAATGACCTGTGGGAACTTATGCTTATTTTTACCTTATTTATCAAGTCTGTTATTAATAAATGCACAGATTTTAACCAATGCATTGGATTGAAATATGCTGTAATTTGGTTTGAACAGAAGATACACATATAGTTTCAAACAATATTATTATGTTAAATGGGGAACCAGTATAAATGTCAACAGGAATAAAAGATTTCTCTGTTTGATTTTGGATCAAGAATTGGATTATTGTGAAAATTGTGATGATCACTTTGTGTCTGTTGATTCTGTTGATTGTGATGTGTCTGTAGAGGCTTTTTATTCACCATCAGCTGATCCAGAGAAGCTCAGCGTAACATCTAAAATCTTGAAAGTGAAACACAGACAGTCAAATGTGTGCAACATTAATACATGATCCGCTTAAGAACAACTAAAACAAACTATGCACTACTATAGTGAGATTGAGGTTCAAAACCCCTTTTAACCATTCAGCATTGGACATTTGACTCTTAACCTTAATAATACTTATCCTCTTTGTGGCATTATTTTATTTATGATAATGAAAGTGGTGATACATATTTACAATTATCTTTTTAAAATGCCAAATTCAGAATACTCTTACAATGCAGCATTTTGGGGGGAAAGATAGGGAATGTTTATATTCTTGTTTTGAAATAAAATGAAACAAAGAAATTTTTTTTTCTTTGCACAGCAATAATTAACGCACTGGCGCAGGGGTGTCCAAACTCGGTCCTGGAGGGCCACTATCCTGAAGAGTTTAGCTCCAACTTGCTTCAACACATCTGGGGTGCGTTTCCCGAAAGCATCGTTAGCCAACTATGGTCGCAAGTTCCGTCGTTACCAATAGAGTTCAATGGAAATTGCGATCATAGTTGGATAACGATGCTTTCGGGAAACGCACTCCTGTCTGGAAGTTTCTAGTATGCCTATTAAGACCTTGATTAGCTTGTTCAGGTGTGTTTAATTGGGGTTGGAGCTGAACTCTGCAGGACAGGACAGTGGCCCTCCAGGAGCAGGATTGGATACCCCTGCACTAGTGGGTCCAAACTCAAACATGGTCTCCAAAATATGTGTAATAAAAATCATTAACAACTCATTAAAATATGACCATTTTTAATCATCACTACTCACAGAAGCATCTTCAGTTCAAATTTAGGATCATCCTTCAGATCAGACAGCAGCTTCACTCTTTGATCTAGTTTATTTCCAGTCAGATCCAGTTCTCTCAGGTGTGAGGGGTTTGATATCAGAGCTGAAGCCAGAGCACCACAACCTTCATCTGTGACTCCACAATAACTCAACCTGTAGAGAACAATGACACTCTTCAATCTCTCAGTTCAGGATATACAGCTCAGATAAGCAGGAATTTTAGTGAAACTCAATTCAAGACTCAAATTTTTATAAGTAGCACACAATTCTCAACACATCTGACTAAAGCCACTGTGTGATTTATTATAGTCCTTTACGATTGTTCCTTGTCAGACTGTACGAACATGATCCTCTCTGTAAGCCATGTCACACTGTAAGATCTCAGTTGTCATTAATACCAGACTGTATGACAGTCAAGGCGCTTTAAAACAGACACACGCAAAAAAACTTGTCCGGAGTTTTACATCATCAATCAATGACACGTTCGGTGACTGTGAGCTGCATCACACGCAGGATTGAAATGGTGGCTACAAAGAAATCTCTAACGATTAATTATGGTCATGGCTTTTCTTGAAAAACGAAGACAATTTGATGGTTGTCTTAAAAGAAGTCACACTGTGAGTCTTTGACTATGAGTCAAATCTTCTGACACTGCCAGAAATTCGTCGGAGGTCAAATTTGATCGCAACGGTCATTTATCGGCTGTCGGTGAACATGTCAAACTAACGATCAAAGACTTCAGATTTTAGCCTGGGATCAGAGGATTCTTTTAGGATTTGCAAAATTTGTCTCAGACGGCCAAATCGTGGCAAAAATCGCACAGTGTGCACCCGCCTTAAATGTGTGCTTGAGGGGGGTACATTTCAGTATCAATATTTTTATGTATGCCGAAATTCTCAACACATCAGATTACATAGGCAAGGCAAGTTTATTTATATAGCACATTTCATACACAATGGTAATTCAAAGTGCTTTACATAGAATAAATTAAAATAATCAAAAGAAATAAGAATAATTAAAACGGTTTAGAATAAAAAAATAAAATACAGTATAAACAATCGGACGAACAGTGGCACAGTGCTCATTCAGTAAATCCACAGCTAAACAGATGTGTTTTGAGTCTGGATTTGAATGTGACTACTGTAGGAGCACATCTGATCTCTTCTGGAAGCTGGTTCCAGCTGCGGCTGGCATAATAGCTAAAAGCAGACTCTCCGTGCTTAGAGCGAACCTTGGTATTTCTAGCTGATGTGATCCTAATGATCTGAGTGATCTGTTGGGTTTATATTCAGTGAGCATATCTGCAATATATTGAGGCCCTAGGCCATTGAATGATTTACAGTATATACCAGTAATAATACTTTAAAATCAATCCTAAATGTAACTGGGAGCCAGTGTAAAGACCTGAGGACTGGTGTGATGTGTTCATATTTTCTGGTTCTGCTCAGTTCTGCAACTGTCTTATGGTCGTTTTAGGAAGGCCAGTGAGGAGTCCATTACAGTAATCCACCCTGCTGGTGATGAAAGCATGCACAAGTTTCTCTAAGTCTTGACTGGAAACAAAGCATCTAATTCTTGCAATATTTTTCAGGTGATAGTATGCTGATTTAGTTATTGCTTTGACATGACTACTGAAACTAAGGTCTGACGTTCACCTTGAGAACTTCATCTTTGTTTCCAAATGCAATGACTTCAGTTTTGTCTTTGTTTAACTAAAGAAAGTTTTGGCACATCCAACTGTTGACTTCATCAATGCATTGGCACAGGGAGTCAATGGGGCTGTAATCGTTTGGCGATAGTGCTAAGTATTCAATTCAATTCAATTCAAATTTATTTGTATAGCGCTTTTCACAATACATATTGTTTCAAAGCAGCTTTACAGAAAGTGCATTTCAGAAATGTACATAGAAGAATACAGTTAGTTAATCATCATGTAAGTAGAGTCAAGTCAAGTCAAATATATTTATATAGCGCTTTTCACAATACAGATTGTATCAAAGCTGCTTCACAGTATCAATCAAAACAACTTAACAGTGTTTGTTTATTACTGGAAAAGACATCCAAGTTTGGTAGAGCTTATCAGTGGTATGATGGGTCATTTAATTTGAATATCCCCAACTGAGCAAGCCAAAGGCAACAGTGGCAAGGAACCAAAAAACTCCATCAAGTGACCCGATGGTGTCCTAAAACTCCATCAGATGACCCAATTTAACCAAACGGTATTTAACATCTTGGAGATGTTATCCGACAGAAGATCTGCCCCGATTCTACTTGGGTGTAAGCCATCAGCGCGGAAGAACCTCGGTCGCTCCCAAAACAGATTCCAATTATTTTCAAATAATAGTTTCTCCTCATTGCACCATGACAATAACCATTCATTTAGCGCGAATAATCTACTGAACTTTTCATGCCCTTTTCGGTACGTAGGAAGCGGTCCAGACACAATAATCGATGTTTCAGGCGATGTTCTGCGTACCGTATCGATAAGGCTCCTGAAGTCTTTCTTCAGAACCTCCGTCTGTCGCAGCCTAGTGTCGTTAGCTCCCGCGTGCAGCACAACAGCTCCGACGCCCTCGTCACCGTTCAAGATCTCAGTTACCCGCGCAGTGATATCGAGAACACGAGCACCAGGAAAGTGAGTGTGCACCTTACTTTTACCTAACGTAGCGTGGACGTGTCGGACCGTGGAATCGCCGATGATCACAGCATCGCGTTCTGTTTCACGAAGAGGGGAGAAGCGTTCTGGGTGGAGATCTCGAAAACCGGGAGGGGCGAAAAGATTCTTGTCCTGGCACGCGGCTTCCGCGGAACCACCCAGGCTTTGTGGTGGTGTGTTGGAGCCGGGGTGAATGTGTGCTGTGTGTCATCTGCTTAGCTGTGGTAAGCGATTTGGTTCTTTCTCAGTATTTGGCTCAGAGGTGGCATATACAGGTTGAATAGGAGTGGCACAAGAATTGAGCCTTGAGGGACTCCGCATGTCATGGATGTCCACTCAGACTTATGGTCTCCTATACTCACATAATAACCTCTCCCTCCCAAGTATGACCTGAACCATTTTAGGACTATCCCAGAAAGCCCCACCCAGTTTTCCAGCCTGTCAAGAAGTATGTTGTGATCAAATGCAGCACTGAGGTCGAGTAGTACCAGCACTGATAATTTGCCTGTATCAGTATTTAATATCGTTTATTATCTTTATGAGCGCTGCCTCTGTGCTCTGATGCGGTCGGAAACCAGATTGAAAATTGTCAAAGTATCCGTTCGAGCTTAAGAATTTGTTCAGCTGATTGAAGACAACTTTTTCAATGATCTTGCCTATGAAAGGAAGATTTGAGATTGCTCTATAGTTGCTTAATATGGTCTTATCCAGATTGCTCTTTTTCAGGAGGGGCTTGACAACTGCAGTTTTCAGGAAGTTTGGAAAACTCCCAGAGAGAAGTGAGGCATTTACCACTTCTAGGAGATTCTAGACAGTTAAACAGTTAAACACACTTTGGGGAAAAAAAGATGAGGGAAGTGTGTCAAGGGAGCAGGTTGATGTTTTAAGGTGCTGTATGGTTCCTTCTAAAATTTTGCCATCAATTTCTTCTAAATCATACATAGTAACTACTTTCTCATGTTGTGGTTTGATCTGTCTGATCTCAGCGTAACTTAAGGATGTGCTGATCACGTTTCTGATATTATTGATTTTCTCAGAGAAGAAGGAAGCAAACTCACTGCATTTGCTGTCTGAGAGCATTTCTTTGGGAATCTGGCTTGGGGGGTTTGTCAGTCTCTCTACAGTAACAAAAAGAGTGTGTGTGTGTTGTTTAAGTTGCTGTTTATAATATTCGAGAAGAAAGTCTCTCTAGCTTTGCCTAGTTCCATATTGAAAGCATGGATGCTGTTTTTGTAGATGTTATAATGGACTACAAACTAGAGTGGGTCCACAATTGTGTGTGGGTATGTGTACATGCTGAGTCAGATCAAAAGTTTTTAAAACAGTTTTGATTTCTTTTGCCATATTGGTTTCTGCATTATCTATGTGAATGTTAAAATCTCCAGAAATGGCAAAACAGTCAAACTCTGAGGTAATTGTTGATAACAGTTATGTAAAGTCCTCACCAAAGGCTGGAGAGTATTTTGGAGGCCTGTAAATAATGATAAGTAAAATGCGCGGAGCACCTTTTAACACAATACCCAGATATTCGAAAAACGGGTAATTCCCAAATTATATTTGTTTACATTGATAGACATCTTTAAAAAGAGCAGCTACACTCCCACCTCTCCTAAAAGCTCTGCAGACACTCATAAAAGTAAAGTTAGGAGGGGCTGTTTCATTGAGGACTGTTGCACTGCAGCTGTCTTCTAGCCATGTTTCATTTAGAAACATAAAATCCAGGTTGTTTGTGGTTATTAAGTCGTTGACTAGAAGGGATTTATTTATAAGTGAGTGGATGTTTAAAAGTGCTAACTTAACAGTCTTACTTTTTGTCCCCAGAGCAATCTTAGTTTGACGTGTAATAGGTAGCAGATTAGATGGGTTTGCTGTACGGCTTTTGAAGGCCTTAAACTTTCTATCATGTAATAGAACAGAAATAGAGAAAGATACAGGTACACTGGGTTCCCACTTGTTCTGTAAACATTTGAGAAAGTACTGTTATCATAGTGGGGACCCGACACATATCACTGAGAGCTGGTATCAGTTGTTTTTGGTTCACCTCGAGCAGATGGAGGAGGGTGTGGGCCCCTGGCTTTTGGCAGAGGCCGAAGAGCTCTCACAGGAGGAGGGGGAGGGCGAGCTGGGCCCGCAGGCTTTGGTGGTTGTGGGGCCTGCCATTTTTTGGTTGATATCTGGGGGCTCGCAGCAAAAGAGTGGGATAGTTTGGTTCCAGCATACACCAGTTCTTCCATTTTCTCTGAGAAGCACAGAAGTGGAGATGCTGGAGAGAGGGGCTGTTGCTCTGGTGTTATCGGAGGCTGTAATATATGTTGTCCTGGGTTCCCTGGCTGTTTTCCAGAAAGTCGTCCTTGGGTGCTAAATCTTGAAGCAGTTCTAATATAAATATATTCTAATAAATATAGTTCTAATAAAATAAGGCAGAGCTCAGCTGAGATTGTGTCCGTGAGCAGAGGTTGTTGGGGCTGTGTGGTGTTATCATTGTCCTTGTGTGATATGTCAACCGCATGTCCATTCAGGTGCTGAAGTGAAGGCCTGTGGTCATTCATACTGTGTCCAGGTGTGTGTGTGCCATTCAGGTTGAGTGGATTGGCACACACTGCAGAAGGATGATGGAGGGAGAACTAGATATTGTCCTTAAGCACTCTTGAACCAGGTTTGTTTGGGTGGTGGCCATCCTATTGAAACAGTTGTCAGTTGTCAATGAAGTTCACTCCTTTTATATTGCAGGTTTTTTGCAGCCATGTATTAAGACCAAGCAACCATGAAAACCTGTTTGTTCCTCTTACTGGGAGTGGTCCACTGATGAATGTCTGAACTTTCAGTCTTTTAAGTGTTTCAAAAATTTCATTCAAATCCTTCTTAAGGAGTTCTGACTGCTCTTTATGAATAGCATTCTTCCCGACATGAATGATAAGTCGATTTGTGGTCTTATGTTTCATCAGAATGTTCTGAAGTTCCCTGTTTACATCAGATGTTGTTGCTTGTGGAAGGCAGCACGTAGTTGTATCCCTGCTGCTAATGTTTCTGATTATGGAGTCACCCACTATCAGAGTCCTGGACCCGGCTGCGCTCTGAGCTGAGTGCCGCTGTCTGCTCGACCTTGAGCGCCAGTTAGCATCAGTGTTAGCTACTGGCTAATTCGATCTTTGTTTTATCACATTTATCACGTTTGGGGATTCCTCATTTACATTCATTAATACTTCAAATCTGTTCTCAAGATGTATAGGTGGTGGTAGGAAACCAGTGTTTGCAATCCTTGTCAGTGCCGTATCTTGGGTAGAGGATGCTACTGCGGCAATATGTGATGCTCGTGACAATCTGATGTCTCGAGTGCCTCTGGGTCTCGCTCCCTGTTTGTGCCATCGATTTGTATGTGGATCAGTTACGGCTTGTTTCTCTACACTGGCCTTTCGAGGAGCACTAGATTCATGGGACTTACCGGCTGTATGCTGAGGGCGTCCATGACGAAGCTCTGTTGTGTGTTCCGTCTGGTTTGGTGGTCCCTCAAGTAACTTAGTTTCAAGAACTGCAATCCTTTGTAAAAGTCTTATAAAAGCTTATTTTCACCTTCACAACATCTCTAAACAATAAGGCGACTCACCTGTGTTTTGTGTGAGGCATTTGTAACAGAGATTTGTGTCTCCTTTTATACTTGTAAAACTCTACAGATTATCCTACATCCTTGTTCGGAACTATAACTATAAACAATTTGTAAGTATCAGTATGTGTGACTCTCAGATGATTTACCTCAGTATCTCCAGTTTACAATAAAAAACTGGATCCTTCAGTCCATCAGAGAGCAGATTCACTCCTGAGTCTCCCAGTTTATTTCCAGTCAGATCCAGTTCTCTCAGGTGTGAGGGGTTTGAACTCAGAGCTGAAGCCAGAGCAGCACAACCTTCATCTGTGACACCACAATAACTCAACCTATAGAGAACAATGACACTCTTCAGTCTCAGTTCAGGTTATACAGCTTAACCGGAACTTCACAATTAATTGTTTTATGTGAGTACCACAAAATTTTCAACAACACATAAATATAAAAAAATACTGAAAAAACATATACTGAAACACTTCTGTAAGATATGAATCAGAAAATATTTTACGTTAGTCACTTCGACATTGTGTCGTAGCTGACACTAGGGGTCGCACTTGAGAGCCCCAAACACCTCTGATACTTATGAAAAGGCCAATGAGAATTGGCGAGTGGAATTTGCATGAGCCACTCCCCCGGACATACGGGTATAAAAGGATGCAGCGTGCTTCCACTCATTCAGATTTGTTCTTTAGAGCCAAATGGATGTCAGCAGACAGAAGCTCATTTTCATTTACCTTTGCTGGGAAATCTATAGCGCATTGCAGTGGTTTATCCACCCACACCAACAGGAGCTTCAGCAAAAAAACAGTTTTCTTTTAAAAGAACAAAATGCTGGAGAAGAATGTCTTTTTAAAGACCCCACCCCCAGGTGGTCCAGCTGATCTGTTCGCCTCCCAAGAATCCTCCAACAGTCTGCTCTGAGCAGCTCACTACGCTCACTATCACCCTCTCGCCTATCCTCTTTGGTCTCATCCACACTTCCTCCACCTGATCAGCTCTCAACACTAGATACTAACAGTGCAACTGATACTCTTTTCTTCACTTTAACATCCTGCTTGGACAACTTCTTCCCCCTTTTCTTCCAGGCCAGTCCGCCCCACACCCTCTGCCCCTTGGTTATCTGATGTTCTCCGCGAACATTGTTCTAAACTCAGGGGTGCAGAGAGGAAGTGGCGCAAATCGAAAAATCCTACTGACCTTGGTCTTTATCAATCCCTCCTCTCTTCCTTCTCTGCTAATATCTCTACTGCTAAAATTACTTACTATCTGTTACGACCCCTCTAAGACTTGTCTAGGAGCTAGAGGAGCAACATTAAAGAAACATGGCAAAACTGTGATAATAATAAGAAGCGGCAAGAAACTATGAGCGAACACCGACTGTCAATGAGAAATGTAATTTATTATACAAGAAGGAAAAAGAAACTATCAAAAAAAAAAAAGAATCCACAACAATATTGAGGCTGAAAGCCACCAACAAAAATGTACAATTTTACAATAAGCAAAACAAAAGAATAATGAATAAGAAAAGGGAAAAAAAAAACAGACTAAACCAAATCTACCCAAAAGAAAAGGGGACTCTAGTGACGCCAAAAGAAAGAAAGAAACAAAAGAAAACAATTCTAACTCATTTCAAACCTCTTAGCTAACTAATGAAAAATAAAAATAAAAGAATAGTTTCTTCAGCGCCAAGCGCCGTATTCTTCCCTACCCTAAACTAACAAAACAAAACATACAATGGGTGGCATATAGTAGAAGGAAATCCAAGGCACTCTTCTTAGGAATTAATAAAAATAAAAGCCTTTATTTGACTGGCTATTTCATAATAGAAAATTTAAAAGACATGGGAAAAAAACAACCCGCTTGGGTTGTTTTTTTCCCATGTCTTTTAAATTTTCTATTATGAAATAGCCAGTCAAATAAAAGCTTTTTATTAATTCCTTTTTATTATTTCCGGGCGCAGGGTTGCCAAATTGCAAATATTTAGTAAAACACCAGGAAGAAAACGTGTTCTTTTAACAGAAAAGCTCTGATTGGGGGATTTAAATTGTAAAAAATCTGGCAACCACATGCATGAATGCTCGTAAAGCGGCTTGTTAAAACAGTCTGTAATTTTTTGTCGTCTCATTTTTTTCCCCTGACAAAAACAACGAGTGATTTTGGTCAAGTTTTAATTTTTTTAAATACATGTAGACTTGTCTTTCGTCAAGGATATTGCATGTTCATTTAGTCACAGTTATCGTTTAATGACGTTGGTGTTATCTCGTCTTCTTCTCGTCTTATCATGGAGAAAAAAAAGGTCGTCAACAAACATTTTTTGTCATAGATTTCGTTAACGAAATGAACACTACCAGCCTAGGTTTTTTGGAGCAGAACAGAGGTGCGCTCACTCAGTTGCTTAGTAAGACTGCCACACAAAAAGGTCATGCTTTTGCTCTGGGACATGTTTTTCATATCGCACCCTCTTATAATTAGCTAATCGCAATGTTCCAAATTGAAATTGATTTCGATTAATCGTTCAGCCCTAGGTCTGACCTCTTGTAACCAAATCCATACTATTGAAGTAGCTCCCTTTTTAGGTACTAAATCGTCATCGGAGGCTGACATGCTGCTCTTACTCTCAGACAGGTGTTGTTGTTGTGCGCGCTAGGGAACGTAAATGCGCCATACCTCATTGCGTCACTATATCATTGATTTAGCGATATGATACTTTTTTATCATGTAAAAATGTATACCGGTGTTATCGTGGACGGTATGAAATGGCACACCCCTAAGTTTGCAAATGATACACAACTATTTTTTCAGATAAGACAGAGATAATTGATATCTGGATGGACAGAGACATGTTATTCAGCCATATCTAGACTCTTCGTCTCTAAAAGCCAATAATCATCTGGAACAGAGGAACCATGTTTAACAGCAAACTCAAACAGGCTCATCTCTGTTTTGTCTGAGGCAATTTTATAACAGAGATTTGTCTCTCCTTTTTACACTTGGTACATTTCCTGACCTGTGGGTAAAAGGGGGTCTACAGATTATCATACATCAATGTCAGAACTGCTACAAATATAAACTATTTGTGAGTATCAGTGTGTGTGAATCTCAGAGAGATGATTTACCTCAGTATCTCTAGTTTACAGTGAGGATCCTTCAGTACAGCAGAGAGCCGATTCACTCTTGACACTCCAAGTTTATTTCCAGTCAGATTCAGTTCTCTCAGGTATGAGGGGTTTGATCTCAGAGCTGAAGCCAGAGCAGTACAACCTTTATCTGTGACACCACAATTAATCAACCTGTAGAGAACAATGACACTCTTCAGTCTCTCAGTTCAGGATATACAGCTCCGATAAGCAGAAATTGCAGTGAGATTCAATTCACAACATGATTAACAGGTCCAGTCTAAGATGAGACCAGCTTATACATGGTGCTTGAGGAGGTTTATTTCAATATCATTATATATTCAATCTTTACATTTTTATGAGTACCACAAAATCCTCAACACATATGCATGTGAAAAAATACTAGGAAAAATTTATTATTCTAATATTATCTTTTTTATTGACCATTGATTCTTATATAACTGTAATTGTCTAGATTTGTAATATATTTAATCTGCCCTATATTAAACTATTCCATTTTTCTTGTTTTCTATTAAAAATAATAGAACATGAATCTATCAATTTGACACTTATATAATTCAAAGGGACATCAAAAGCCACAAATCAATTTACTCTACAATCAGCTGCTGGGACATTATTTAATATAACAAAGTAACTCCACATTATGTAACTCCCATTTCTGTCTCTGTCATTCACTCTGATAAGCAGTTTAAATGAGTTAATTGACTGAGTGTGTCACAGGCAGTTGCAAATCAAGTTGAAACAAGGATCTAATCATAGCAGTCTTCAGTTTATTTTAACAAAACTCAGGGTACTAAGGATACAGAACCACCGTCAAAGTGCAACATTAACAAGGAGCTGAACAGAACAAAATACACTGCTTAAATACACAGGGCAAACAAAGGAGCTAATGAGATAATTAACTAGACACGCCTGAACAGAATACTCAGTCAATTAGTAACCAAGGAAACAAACAGGCAGGGAATAGAGGAGAACAGAAACAATTAACAAACTAACAGCAACATACTAGAACAGAACAGGAAAGCTAAATCAAACACGATACAAAACCGTAACGAATTTTTTGCCACTGCACTGTAAAAAAAATATATATTTTCATGATTTATCACAACTTGTCACAGAACAGCTTAGTTGTTGATAATGTTGTTCAGATAACATAATATTTTAAGTTTTTGTTGAATAAACTAATCTCTTTTTTTGTATCAACTCAAAAAAAAGTTTTTTAAGACACCCAGGCTAGGCTACTTTAAGTTAAACTAACAAACAATTTTTGCAGTATGATTGTGTCTTTATTAATTTCTGTGCATGATGCTAAAGTCCCCCTGTGGTGAAAATCAATCTTTTAAGATTTGTTTATATGTCTATGTAGTGTTTTAATATGATTTAAGACCAACCATGTGCAACACCATTGCTGATTATTTTCTCCTTAAAACTACAGTGAACCAAATACAGTCTCAAAAATGTAGAAAAAAGGTACCTAGTGACGACCCTGGCACTGGCAGTATGAGAGAAGTGCTGATATGCAAGAAAAAGTGAGTGTACACTACAACTTAAAATATAGGAGTGCTGCTACTGTGTATCAGTGCGTACAGGCCCACTTCGAAGTACTGTGAGAAACCATGTTTAACAGCAGACTCACAAACCACATATGTTTGCAAAACACCTTATTATCACCTTCACAACATTTACAGGTTATCCTATATCCTTGTTGGTGCTATAATTATAAACTATTTGTGAGTATCAGTGTGTGTGACTCTCAGAGAGATGATTTACCTCAGTTTCTCCAGTTTACATTGAGGATCCTTTAGTCCAGCAGAGAGCAGATTCATTCCTGAGTCTCCTAGTTTATTTCCAGACAGATTCAGTTCTCTCAGGTGTGAGGGGTTTGATCTGAGAACTGAAGCCAGAGCAGCACAACCCTCATCTGTGACTCCACAATCCCACAACCTGTAAAGATTAAAAACATGCATATGATGAAGATGAATGACACTAGTTTAAATTAATTTTTAAAATGTGAAAAAATCATTTTATAATCGTATTAAAAGCTTATGAATGACTAGCTGAAATGAACTATTGTAGCCTAATTTTAAATTCCTTTAAGTGATGTCAATTAATTTATTGTCACCTACTTGCAGACAGGCCTACAGAAATAGTCACATATTATTAATGCTTTATTGGCATGACTGTACGGCATTTAGAATATATATGGCACTATACAGTAGATTGTGTAAAGAGAACTATAAAACTTAAATAATACAGACCAGTCAATGGGTTTAAAAGACTTTGGGATAAGATTAATCATTTTTTGTATATATTCTTTTAACAAATATTAACTTCATTAATTTACTAATAGTCACTTACGGTCTGGCCACTTGACAGTGCATGTATGCAACAGGAAGTAAGTGTGCAAGCCTGTCCCAGATCTAATAAATGCCAATTAATTTATCAGTGCCCTTAACACACACTAAATCCACACTGTCTCTAAAGGTCCCGATATACTTCAAGCAAAATCAAAGAACAAACTGATATAACATCATTTCAAACAAAATCAGCCAGCCCGGACCACTTGGCTACCCTAGGCAAGATTGTACCTAATATTTTGAATTAATAGTATTAGTAATAAAAAAAAAATAAATAAAAAAAAAACACTAATTTTGGCGCCCATATGCATGAGTTGCGCCCCTAGCATTTGCCTTTTCCGCCTATGCCGTGGGCCGGCCCTGTCCACGCTGCGTTAATCAGATGCTTTTCTTATGCTTTCTTTAAAAAAAATGCTTGCAGTTTTCTGTTTTTTGTTGTATATTTATTTTGTTATTGAGGCTTGAAATCGCAAAATGTCATGAAAAACCTTTCAGGTGCTTTTTCTTATGCTGTTTTGAATTCAAACTGTATATCCTCCTTTAATATATATATTAATATATATATACACGGGTGAAACTCGAAAAATTAGAATATCATGCAAAAGTTGTAATTCAACTTAAAGATGAAACTAATACAGAATATTATATAGACTCATTACATGCAAAGTGAGATATTTCAAGCCTTTATTTGTTATAATTTTGATGATTATGGCTTAAAGCTTATGAAAACCAGTTTTGTTTCAGTTCAATTTTGTAGGCTCAAAGTGTCACACTCCAATCAGCTAATTTATCCAAAACACCTGCAAAGGGTTCCTTAACTTTAAATGGACTCTCAGTCTGGTTCAGTACAATTCACAATCATGGGGAAGACTGCTGACCTGACAGTTGTGCAGAAAATCATCATTGACACCCTCCACAAGGAGGGAAAGCCTCAAAAGGTAATTGCAAAAGAAGTTGGATGTTCTCAAAGTGCTATATCAAAGCACATTAATAGAAAGTTAAGTAGAAGGGAAAAGTGTGGAAGAGAAAGGTGCACGGGCAGCATGGATGACCGCAGCTTGGAGAGGATTGTCAGGAAAAGGCCATTCAAATGTGTGGGGGAGCTTCACACGGAGTGGGACTGTGGCTGGAGTTACTGCATCAAGAGCCACCACACACAGACGGATCCTGGACATGGGCTTCAAATGTCGTATCCCTCTTGTCAAGCCGCTCCTGAACAACAAACAACGTCAGAAGCGTCTTACCTGGGCTAAAGAAAAACATAACTGGTCTGTTGCTCAGTGGTTCAAAGTCCTCTTTTCTGATGAGAGCAAATTTTGCATCTCATTTGGAAACCAAGTCTGGAGGAAGAATGGAGAGGCACACAATCCAAGATTCTTGAAGTCCAGTGTGAAGTTTCCACAGTCTGTGTTGGTTTGGGGAGCCATGTCATCGGCTGGTGTTGGTCCACTGTGCTTTTATTAAGTCCAGAGTCAACGCAGCCGTCTACCAGGACATTTTAGAGCACTTCATGCTTCCTTCAGCAGACAAGCTTTATGGAGATGCTGACTTCATTTCTCAGCAGGACTTGGCACCTGCCCATACTGCCAAAAGTACCAAAACCTGGTTCAATGACCATGGGATTACTGTGCTTGATTGGCCAACAAACTCGCCTGACCTAAACCCCATAGAGAATCTATGGGGCATAGCCAAGAGAGAGATGAGAGACATGAGACCGAACAATGCAGAAGAGCTGAATGCCGCTATTGAAGCATCCTGGTCTTCCATAACACCTCAGCAGTGCCACAGGCTGATAGCATCCATGCCACGCCACATTGAGGCAGTAATTCATGCAAAAGGGGCCCAAACCAAGTACTGAGTACATATGCATGATTATACTTTTCAGAGGGCCGACATTTCTGTATTTAAAATCCTTTAATGTAATAAATGTAATATTCAAATTTTCTGAGATTTTGAATTTGGGGTTTTCATAAGATGTAAGCCATAATCATCAAAATTATAACAAATAAAGGCTTGAAATATCTCACTTTGCATGAAATGAGTCTATATAATATATTAGTTTCATCTTTTAAGTTATGAAATAAATGAACTTTTGCATGATATTCAAATTTTTTGAGTTTCCCCTGTGTGTGTATATATATATATATATATATATATATATATATTAGTGCTGTCAAACGATTAAAATATTTAATCGCGATTAATCGCATTAATGTCATAGTTAACTCGCGATTAATCACACATTTTTATCTATTCTAAATGTCTCTTGATTTCTTTTTGTCCCATATTTTTATTCATTTTAATGTTCTTATCAACATGGAAAAGTGGATCGGCTTGCTTTGTGCAAATGTTTTTTTATTGAAAACAACATTGGCATATACTGTGTTCAATTTCACACTAACATTCTCACTTGGAGCAAATAATCTCTCACACAATGTTACACTGTCCAACAATAAAAGGGTGAAAGAAATCCTGACGAGGTCCTGATATTGACGAGGGGGCGGAGAATTCGCATCAGCTGTGTGTGTGTGTGTGTGTGTGCTGAAGTGGTATTTCAGACTGGACGTGCTGCGATGATGATAGCTCAGTTCACAACAACAAAACACACAGATCACTTTGGTCTTGTCAATGGGACCATTTGGCAACTTTTTAAAAGTAAACTTTCCATTCAGAATCTTATAGGCATCCATTTCGGCGTCTTGCGCTCGTCATCCACTCAAAACGTAACGTTAACCTACTATTTGGCCGGCTCGCAAGCCCAAACGAGTGTGTGCGTCGTGCCTGTTGTTTTGTTTCCGGTCTAGCTAGATCCGCTTGCGCTTTGGTTGACGAAGCAACAAAACGTCCTCGCGCGGCCCAAGCTATTGAAATGAATGGGTTTCATAGCGCAGCGCATGCGGCGTCCTGTTGCAAAAGCATGTGAAAAAAACTACAAAGTTTGCTAGGCCAAAAAGACCGTTAATCGCGCGATAAAAAAATTAACGCCGTTAAAATGGGTTTGCGTTAACGCCGTTAATAAGGCGTTTAACTGACAGCCCTAATATATATATATTCCTTTATACCTTGATTCTGTTAATCCTGTGCAAAGTCCTTGTGGCCGGCAGGACAAGGCAGAGGGCCGTGAGAGAACAGCACGAGGCCGGCGGCGTGATTGATAATGAGCGACTCGTATCTCTCATGAAGGAGCAGAAGCATAAAAAGAAAAGTGAGGACAGGGAAGGACGAGAGAGGCCAGGCCCTGGATTCATGTTTCTGTTTTTATTATGTGTGGGGCAGTCGTCCGTGAGGGGATGCCGTCTTTACTTTCGTTTTGTTGTTTGTTTATTTTATGGATTATTAAAGTGTTCGCTGGTTCCCGCCTCCTCCTTCCCATAACAACGAACTTCGTTACAGTCCTTTTTTATCTAACAGGGTTATTTGGGTATTTGACAGCTTGGAGTGAGAGAGGCTTGAATATTCACAATCATTGTAACTTTCTTTCTATTACAGTGAATGTGAAAAAATTAAACAAATAAGGGGTGGGTGCCCTTGGAGATAACTGGCCCCAGGGCCTTTGCCAGTGATAATCTGCCCCTGCTGACAGTAATGGGATTTGGTGAAAATGTCCTCCTTTTGTTATTTTGGTTAGAAAGAGCTAAAAGTATAAATGTGATCATGTTTTATCAGTATAGTGATTGTTGTCAGTGTGACTTACTGAACTGATCTGGACTCTTTAACCACAGGCAGCAGCTTTTGAAGAACTTCATCTGCTGTATTTTGTGTTCCAATGAATGGTTTTAGATTAAAAACATCCATCTTCTGCTCTGATGTCAGCAACATATAAACCAGAGCTGACCACTGTGAAGAGGAGAGTTTGGTTTGTCTTATTTTTCCAGTTCTTAGATAGTCTTGGATCTCCTGCATCAGTGAATCATCACCCAGTTCATTCAGACAGTGGAACAGATTGATGGATCTAGTGATTCTCCCTGATCTTCTGTTTGATGTACTGAACTGTTTCCCTTTTGTTGTAGGAGCAGATTCCTGTCTGTGTCATTAAATCTCGTAAGAGAGTCTGACTCCAATGAGAGTCCCAGAAGGAACCGCAGGAAAAGGTCCAGATGTCCATTCTTACTCTGTAAAGCCTCATCCACAGCTGTGTGATGCAGGCCAGATAATGGATTAAATGTCTTCCAGTGTGCATTTATGCAGTTGTTTGTAAGGGAGAGATGCACATATAGAGCTGCTAGATGTTCCTGAATGCTCAGATGAGCAAAGCAGAAGACTTTCTCCTGATTCAAGCCAAACTCCTCTCTGAAGATCTGAGTGCACAATCCTGAGTACACTGATGCTTCTGTCACATCAATGCCACACTCCCTCAGGTCTTCCTCATTGAAGATCAGGTTGCCTTTCACAAGCTGCTGAAAAGCCAGTTTTCCCAGTTGGACAATCATGTCTTCATCTTTCACTTTATTCTCATAGTCCTTCTCATGTTTGATGTTGGTCTGAATTATCAGGAAGTGTGTGTACATTTGAGTGAGAGTCTTGGGAATCACTCCAGTCTCAGCTAGAGTCAACATCTCCTCTAGGACAGTGGCTGAGATCCAGCAGAAGACTGGGATGTGGCACATGATGTGGAGGCTCCTCAAGGACTTCAGGTGTGTGATGATTCTATTGGCCAAACTCTGAACACTGACTCTCTTCCTGAAGTATTCCTCCTTCTGTGGCTCATTGAAGCCTCGTACCTCAGTCACTCGATGGACACACTCAGAGGGGACGAGATCAGATGCTGCTGGTCTGGAGGTGATCCAGATGAGAGCAGAGGGAAGAAGATTTCCCACAATGAGGTTCGGCAGCAGCACATCCACTGAGGCTGATTCAGATATATCACACAGTTTCACTTTAAAGTTCAGAGAGAGACGACCAAGGGCGTAGATTTGGTTTGAACATTGGGGGGGTTGAAGTTTGGGTATGCCTCCTGATATTGTGATCATGGTATAAATAATGGGGGGGTCGTAATGCATAGATTTAAATATTGGGGGGGTTATATCCCCCCCATCCCCCCCACAAATTCCGCCCCTGGAGACGACACTCATCCAGACCATCAAAGATGAACAACACTTTATATTTATTACTGGATATTTCTATTTCTTTGGTTTCAGGGAAAAAGACATGAAGAAGATCTGAAAGACTGAGTGTTTTGTCCTTCATCAAGTTGAGCTCTCTGAAAGGAAGTGGAAATATGAGCTGGACGTCCTGATTCTCTTTCTCTTCAGCCCAGTCCAGGATGAACTTCTGCACAGAGACTGTTTTTCCAATGCCAGCGACTCCCTTTGTCAGGACAGTTCTGATGCGTTTCTCTTGTCCAGGTAAAGGTCTAAAGATGTCATTGCATTTGATTGGTGTGTCCTCTGTTGCTGCTCTCCTGAATTGAGTCTTGATCTGTCTCACCTCATGCTCATTATTGATCTCTCCACTTCCACTCTCTGTGATGTAGAGCTCTGTGTAGATCTCATTCAGGCGTGTTGGGTTTCCCTGCTTTGCTGTTCCTTCATACAAACACTGAAACTTCTTCATCAGAATTGATTTAAATCCACTTAGGATCAGTTGAGAGTTATGACTGAAAGAATAAAACAACAGATTAAAATAAATAAAAATGGTTTTGATAAAATACATAAACAATTTAATTCTGCAATATCACACTTTCAGTCATGCTCTTGGTTTGAATATCACTATGGCTGTGATATGTTTGTCCAAGCTGTGCTGATATTCAGACCAACAGAACGATTGAGAGTGTGATATTGTTTTTAAATAAAAGTTCAATGCAAGCAATGATGATTGAAAAGCATACATTATAGAGACAATGTTGTAATCATATTCAGAATTTGAGTGAGTCTGTCTAGACAGAAATGTTGAACCTCAGATCAGCTGATGTGTGTTTTCCCTTAAATTTTGCTGGTTTGTCCATTGACTGGTCACTCTTCATGGACACATAGCTGGACGCTGGTGGGTTTGATCTATGACTGTGAAATTGAGGTTAACACAACAGAGACAACAATTTATACCATGCATAATGGATTTTATATGTCATAGCACCCATCAGTCCATTTGTTAATTGACTTAGATCTGGGCTCTATTAGTTGAGGCAGGGGTGTGAAGTAACGAATTACAAATACTCACGTTACTGTAATTAAGTAGTTTTTTTCAGAAAATGTACTTTTTTGAGTAGTTAAAAAATTATGTACTTTTCCTGGAGTACATTTTAAGTGATGTGTCAGAACTTTTACTCCACTATTTTGCTTCCGTTTGTGGTCGTTACTCGTTACATGTTTGTTTAAAAAAAATTTCAAACATTTTTGTTAGTCTCGTGACTGTCGTCAAATCAAATTATGCATAGAAAACTTTAACCGCCAACTGCTGTTAATCATGGCTGCTGTGGAAGTGCATTCTTCAAGCATCAATTCAATCGAGATATCAGCGTCTTCCTCTAATATCACAAGGTACATTTCTGCTTACTAAATTATCTTTGTAGCCTATCTACAGGGCCTGCCATTTGGTGTGAGATTGGGGGTATTGAGTATGGGATCAATATCCCGCCAAATGTATTGCGGCCACGGCTTGATTAAAAAATGTAAAAATATATTGCACAAACTGAAAAAAATTATGCTAAATGATCAGAATAGCAAACAACGTGGTCATGGATCAAAATATAATAAACGTGAATCAAAAAATAACAAGCATGAATAAAAACTTAAATAAATATTATTTTGCACGAAACTTAAACTTATGTTCATGTTTTCTTTAAAATTATGTTTTCCTTTGTTTAATTACTCTGTACTTTGTGCTCTCTTGCATTTTCTGCTCATATTTAATTTTGTTGTACGCTAGTGCTGTTTTTCTCTTCGCTCTTCTTTCCATGTTCTGCGTTTGCTCTTCCAAATGTTGCAGTTCGAGTTTCATGTAAATTAGGGTTGGGCTTAAGCATCACCTTGGTCCACTAGTTCTAGATTGAACACGTTCAGTGAACATCAGTAGCATCAGTGCATTAGGTGAGGTAAACTGGTAATATTAGTGATTCTCATTTCTTTATCAAAACACTAAAACTGGTGCCGTTTTGGAGAGAAATTGGCTCTTTTTTATTCTCTCTTTTATTGGCTCTTTTATTATTTTTATTAGGTTGAGTGTACTGAGAATAACTCTTTCATCTTCTCATCTCTTAACTAGTCTTTCCTTGTTGTTTTGTTGCATTTTAAAAAGATGGATGATAGATATTCTTCAATCTTTCAGGCAAACAACAAAAGATACAGTGAATTACAGTATGTTTTCTAATTGTTTTAATTGTAGTGTACAGTGTTTATTATAAGGGGGTAGAATCCGCAGCTCAGTACTCACTACTCACTAATGAGTAGCCTTTAAATAAGCTGCTTTTTTACTCTTACTCAAGTAATTTTTTGGACAAGTACTTTTTACTTCACTCTACATTTTTTGGAATGAAATGGTACTTTTACTTGAGTATATTTTTTCAATACTCTTTCCACCACTGAGTTTAGGGCATTGTATAGAGAGCCTTAAACCTGTATAGAGGGTCTTATATCTCAGGACCAGAATTTAAAATTTAATTTAATAGTAAATAGACGAGAAATCAATCAGTTTAATTTACCTGATAAACCTCAAATAGAGAATCAATCCATTAATCTTTTACCATTTATTTTTAATCTGTTGTATTTGAGTTTCCCAAAATGTGATGTAGTTGTGTTTCATTTGTGCTATAATCTGGTTGAATCTATTGAGTTTGACAGTGTTGTTCTGGTCCAGATTATCAGTGTGATGGGGTCAGTGGATGCTCTGGATCAGCTGTGAGAAGGAACCTGGTCCTTTACTCAACTCTTGATATTGCAGGGCTTTATAATAGTATGAGTCACTGAGATTTAAATGCTACTAGAATTTGATTACCTATTTCTGCATTTTGACAATATGTGAATATTTGCCAAATTCTCCCCTGCAAACATTTTGTGCCAGTGGTCTATCTGTCTGTCTATACAGAAATGTTGTACCTCAGATCAGTTGATTTGTTTCTTCTCTTCAATTTTATTGGAATCTTTATTGACTGGTCACTCTTCATGGACACACAGCTGGGCTCTGGTGGGTTTGATCTCTGACCTTGATCTCTGAAATTGAGTTTAATACAACATAGACAACAATTCACACCATGTATAATGAATTATACAGGTACAGTTGGTTTTAGATGCAGAAAAGCTTCAGAAATGTTGAAGAGTGATGACATCACACCAGGATCATACCACCATACATCCACCAATCTATTTATAGACAGATCTGGGCTCTTTTAGTTTAGGCGAATGTATATGACACTCATGGTCTTAATTATATCTCAGCACCAGAATATTTTTTTTAATCATTATTATTATTTAACCATTATTGAACCAGAATAGCCTCTCTGAGATTAAAAATCTCTTTTACAGGAGTGCCATGGCCAAGATGGACAGCAGTATAAATCACAGGTTTACAAAACAAAAATCAACAAACTAAAAGACTTAAAAACAATTACTCATGATTGAGTCATCTTTCAGTTGCTGAATAATAGATTCGAATTTTTCCTTAGAAACCAAGTTTTGTAATTACTCACATTTCCTTAGGAAGACTTTGACGTACCTGCATTCTGGAGAAAATTCTTCATTGCGGAATGTGTCTTTGTTCTCCATGATTTATTCGGTATGAAGCTGCACTAGTACTGTAAGTCTGATGAGTCAGAAATACTGTTTCAGACAAACTGACAAACAAAAGATATTGCATTTTATTTATAATTACAATTTAAACAGTAACTTACTTTAATATTTTTCCCAAATTAATTGCTGCTTAAAAAAGACTAAATGTATTGTATTTGTTTTAATTAAAATGCTTCAAATGAAATGAATAAATGCAAATGTTTATTTTTTTTAAATTATTTATTTTTATTTTCTGAAATCAAATATTTCAGTAAATTTGATGAACAAAATAAATGCATGTACAAAATTAAAACAGATGTTTGTTTCAACCCAGCCCACCTGATGTTACCTTCAGCCTGGCGGGGAAGGTTGTGGCTCTCTTTGTACCTGATAAAGTCACAGATTATATAATTTAGACTGAAATGACATAAATTATATTGAAGTTTAAGAAGCAAAAAAATAAAAATCAGATTAGATTACGTTACAACACTCCCTATCTAAATATGTTAATTAAAGTTTTTGCCGGTTACCTTATTTTTTAGTTTTTAGAACATCGGGGTGATTAATTATAGGCTAATTGTCCCCAACCGATCTTTTAAATATAATTTACCTAGCTATATGTCACAACAAAAAGCCAATTTCTTTAAGAACTTCATATTTACTTTTTCTTTTAAATACTTCAAGAAAGCAGTTCATGATTACCTAAGTTAATGAGAAAGTCACTCAAATTCAGCTCACCTAATGCTCACTCACCCTTAGTGTTGTGAATGTGTTTCCCATCGAGTGATTCCAACCACTGAAATTCCTGCATCGGCAAACAGAAAAATTCTTGAATATATACTATTAAAGACTTTTAGTCCGATTTAAAGAATCTTATTAAGTCCTGGTGTAAAATGGCACGCAGCAAAACTGAAAATTCTTTCACTTTTTGTAGCAAAGTTGCCAACCCGTTTGAAGAGAAATATCCAGCACATCCAGTTCTTAACCAATTTGTTAATGAGAGCGTGAGACTATAGTTACCTCACTAGTTTTGATTATCCGGCCTAATCATAAAAGAATGTTCAAGTAGGCCTATATTTTTATACTTTATACTAATGTCAATTTAGTATACTAAAAGTAGGCTATACTTGTAAGTGTAATATTTCAATACTGCTTGGGACTAAATTGGCCCACTTGTTAGTATATAAAAGTATACGTTGAAGTGTAGCCACTATAAGTGTAACAGAAGTAAATTTTAAGTGAACAAGTTCACAAATACGTTTCTCATTTGTACTGCATCTGTAGCCTACTACAAGTGAACTCATAAGTAGCTATAGGCCTACTGGTAGTTTACTATTTTAATAGGCTACTAGAGGTATAGGCTAAATTTTTTTAGTTTATTAAAATAGTACACTTTGTGCTACTCTCAGTAAACTACTAGTTTAATAGTTTTACTTGTAAGTTTTCTTTAAGTGAACAACATCATGCTTATGTTTTACTATTTATATATTATTTTTGCACGTAAATGTTCCTATTTAGCTTTATACTGGAAATTTAGCCTACCTTTAACTGTACTTTAACTCTTTCCATTTTAAAAAACATTATTTTTTATCAACATTTGAATGTGGATAAAGTATTATAAAAAGGCAACATTTTAAACATAAAGCTGAGAAAATCGCATTTTTGTCAAAGTCTTTGTCCGGATGGGATTCATGGTGATGATCAAAACACAAATGGAGTAGATCTAGTCCATCAACTATTGTATTTTGTGCCATTTGCAAGGATACCCTGGTGAAGCAGAAGGAGAAGTCTTCTGTCGCCGTCAGTACGTGTAGATTTTTGAATGGTATTAATAGGGACTGCAAACGACAGACTGGCGGCGATGTGGCATCAGTGTAGCCTATATGAGAAATTTTTATTTTTTTATTTTTTATTATTATTATTATTAACAGTTTTGAAGTTATATGAACAAACACAAAAAAAAAAACATAAAACAGTCAGGACAACAAAGACACACACACACACACAAAAAAAAACATCTAAGATTGCCTCAGTCCACAAATATATACAAAATACTTATTGAAAAGAAAAATAATTAGATACACATAAATTACAATATTCGCAATTGTTTTATAATACAGCAAATTCCCCACAGGAGAGGGAAATAAATGTTAAACTACCAAAAGTCCCAAGAGAGTTCGCCATGTGGCTTCAAATCTTTTTTGTGAGTAGAACTCTCCAAAATGTAACTGTTCCATTTGGATATTAAAAAGCTGAGAAATTTTTTTTTTAAATGTGTACGTCCGAACCTATGAGGTGTGATTTGTGCACTTTTTGCCGATCGCTTATGGCGTTCCGATCGGCTCTATGACTTTACTATGGCACCCAAAATTAAACATCTGTATGGCGTGCACCCCGTGCCAAAATGAAACACGTGTCACCTGAATGATCCACTGTGGATATATTAGGCTTGTTCGACTTGAACCGGCGCTTCACAGACCGATCGGTGAATGAATCACTCTCATGGTAGGCCTACTTTGATGTCATTCACCGATCGGTCTGTGAAGCGCCGGTTCAAGTCGAACAAGCCTCTTCTTTGTTGCATGTGCAAATTATGATACACTAATACAAAAGAAAACAATTATATTCACAAAAATGTCTCTATTTGTACCAATTACTACACATTCATTCAATTTTGAATTTTAGTAAAACATATCTGCAACATTTATCAAGTTCATGGATAATTGTGCATGCACATGTTCATTATTTTGATACTATATTCATCCCATACAAGTTTGTGTTTTGAGGAATTCTTAAAGGGATATGTGAAATGGGCAGCCGATGTTGTGTGAGGTTGTTGGAATTATATGGTGAATACCATTGCATGAGTCATTGCAGACTGTAAGTGCTCTATTACATTATTCAGTCTAATAATCATTGTCTGATATGCTGGTAGATGCATCAATAAGATATTTCTTCAGTTATAAAATAACAACTGCTATATTATGGACTTTTTCTGGAATACTTGGGACTTGCTAAGACCGAGTACTCTTATTACCACCACTTCATTGCATCTTTAAATCAAAGCACATTGTTTTATTGTTGGTTATTTTGTGTATAGGCCTACGCTGTTTTATTTGAGACATATTTACATTTTGTTGACATTGTGCGCAAATAATTAATTATTTAATTTGGCCAATTAATACATTGTGTGAAATTGATCCATGACTCTGGCTTCTTTACTCCCCTCCTAGTTACTGGACATTAATTGTGTAAATAGTCCTCTAAGGTGATTAACAATCAGTGCATACTACAGTCTTCAATACAATCTTTTCAATTGATGTTTGAATTCTTTTTTTTTTATATAGCACTGCTAATTTCAACCACCCTACATAATTTTGTCGAGACCTGTGAAATTATGTGAAAAGGGCGATAATGAAAGGGATAGATTAATGTTCACTCAAACACAAAGCAGAACAGGACAGACATATGTACATCCCAGAGTCCTTTTAATTTATAATCATGAATTTATGCTTGATGAGATAACTCATGGGAATATTATAGAGATTATTTTATATTATTTTGTTATTCACAAGTATGTTTTATATACAGCAACACATTAAAAAGAAAATTATTAACACTTGTTAAAAAAAGAAATCAGTAAACAAACAAATAACGATTAAAAGGTCAATTTCTTGTAAAAGTAATTTGAAAAATTAAAAGTGTACAAAAAATAAATTAATCTTTCATGTTGCTGTTTTTCCTGACATTCTATCATTCATAAAAACAAAACTCTTCTGTTGGATAACAACAGTTTACCAGAAAGATCTGTTGGAAGAAATACATCATGTGGTTGTTGATCATGAAACCACTATATGTTCTTCTGGACATGAAGCAGTAATACTGTAGAAAAATGGCAACTCGATTGTACTGTTACAGCCTTCAGGGCTGATAATAGAACTGTGTAAAGTATATTATGCATGATTTCATTCAGTTTTGGCACAGCAGGTTTTAGCTCCATATTAAAGGTCTCAGATGGTTATGGATTCATCATCTAGTGTCAAAGCACCTCAGATCCTGGAGAAAATATCAGATGAGCTCTTTTCTGCTGCTCTTCTTTACTGGAAATATCTGCAGGAGTGAAAATACAGTTTTGAGTCGAATGTGGTATGAATATGGTACTGGGCATGAAACAATGACATTTTTTAATTAATTAGAAAATAGCTTATCTATATCTGATAGTTATGACAACAAAAACATTGGATTTGTATGTAATCTGAAATTACTCTGTAAAGTGTGTAACATCTGACCTGTTTGAATGTAAATCTGTGGGATGTTCTGGACACGACCTGTTGACCTCAAACCATTCATCAATACACCTGGAGGAGAAGAAGATGAGATGATTTCCACAGACACAGACGAAAGCAGGTACAGTATGTGTGTGTATGACTGGGGGGTTTGAGTTGGGGGCTCTGACCCCCTAAATAAGGCTTTAATCAAAATAAGGTGTGTGTGTGTGTGGTGGTGGTGGTGGGGGTCTGCCATTTTAACAGTGGAAATAGAATAGTTCACATAGCTCTGTATCTGAAATCATAATAATAATATTCATATAAATAAATAGAAATTTGACCGCTCCTAAAACGGGTAATTTCATTGGCAATGCATGATCGTGCCGAGCAGGATAAATGCGGGAAAATACAGCGCATTCAATGATGAATACAATTGAGTCAGTAAGATATAAGTGTTCAAAAGATATATTTTTCTGTAAAAATAAGTGGTTGAATCTATAGGGTTAGTGAATATAAATATATGAATATAAGTGTATTCCATGCATTTGCTACGCAGTTCATCAAAATGAAATGTTAATGTTAGTTTACTTGTAGGTTTACGTCGTGTGTGTGAATGAATCATAAATAATAAAATACTGTTAATTGAAAGAACATACAGCTCTGAATTTTAAAATAAAATGCATGCAAGTTATGTCCTTAACTATAGTAACAGTAAGATATGCGAGTTTGTAACATTTGTTTGTAATTTTTTGTTGTTGTTATTTTCAAAATCTTTTATACCAATATGTTATCATTGTGTAAAATACAAATCTTCACTACTCACAAATACAGGCTGAGGTATTTGATCCATTATCTGATTTATCAATGTAAGTTGGTAATAAATTGAAAGCAAATGCAGTGGCCTTTTCATATTTAAATAACAGAGACCTTTTTTCCACTAATATTTCATTTAACACTTGGTGATGTCATGACTCATGAGTAAGAGAAAAGCAACAGACAAGGCAGTGTTTTACTACGGTAAACTGCCTGCTGTTTTGGCCAATAAATAGTTTCCTATGTACAATGTTTCGTAGAAGTATAGGTGAAATTGGTTTAAGAGCTATTGTGTGCAATGCATAATGTTTTTCTGGATATTTTTGTTCAATAAATTAGATCTAATTGAATTACTTGATTCACACAAGCATTACATAAACGATGTAAACTTAAAAAAAAGGCTGGAAGTCAATGTGTAACTCGCACACTGTGTGTTAGTGAATGTTTCTCATACCCTTTGTGGTAGACACAGAGACAGGGCAGTCGAGCGATGGTGTCGCCCTGAACCATGTCATCCAGACATATCGGACACTCACCAGAGTCCTGCGATAAAACATCATCTACAGAGAGATAAACATCACATCATCACTATCATGCAGAGAAGCTGAGAGCAGCCGGAGTCACAAGATGACACATGAGGACGCTGTTACACAACTAAACAAATGAGCTTTCAAACAGACAGAAACATGAAATATGCATGAAATATGTTTTTATCAGTGAGAGCTCAGGATTGCAGAAACAGGCCAATGATATATAGTGTGATAGTGAAGGTTTTCTCACCATTATAATAGAGTCTGTGTTTGGAAAAACACATGGGCAAATGAACATCCATTTCATCAGAGCAGACAAACTTCGAGCAGACGGGACAGTCGAATCCAACTGAAACAAACAGAACAGACTTAACCATTGTCATGTTTGTATGATTGATTTCCTCTACACAATATAGGTCAGCTGAAAGATAACAAAACATTTTTATTTACTTCCTCTCAGTGAACAACAATTATAAGATTACACGGCTATAAAAAGCCATTTTGGAAATGTTGTAATCTCGTCAATTTACTGTAATGTGAATTACTGGGTTATCAACACAATATAAATAATATCTGATGCATAAAATCCACAACACGTGCTCGAGCTGCACATGGCTGAATGACTGTAAAGCAGGATTTCAAATGAAGTTCATTATAAAGTTGTAAAGTTCATCATGATTACACTGAAACCTCTGCAGACAAAGGTCTGATATAGGGGTGTAACGATACACTCATGTCACGATACGGTACTATCACAAAACATTTAAAGCAAAATAAAGTTCTGTTTTTTGTTATTATTTGTTCCAAGACATATGGTAAAAACATACTGTTGATTAAAATGCTAAATGTGGTATTCGGCTACATCAGGGGTGCACTCCTGATCCTCAATATACAGGGCAATATGACACCAGAATAAAGCTGGTGTAATCAATTCTGAAGCTGAAAATACAGAATTATGTTAGACACAGAATGCTTGCACTGTCACTCACTACATATTTAAAATAAAGTAGGCCCCTATTACAGGTAAAATAAGACATTTGGCATTAGGACACACATATTGCATTATTATACCTAATTTTCAACATTATAGTAGTTTATTGTCATTGAAACTTAGTAAACTTTTCTCATGCAATACACTCACGCTTTCAATACAAGCATTCGTTGACGTTGGATCTCTCACCCGGACTGTGTGTAAAAGATTGTGTATAATTCTGTACATGAAAGACCCAATAAACACATCAAAGTAAATATATGCTTATAAATTATGCAATGGAACACAATACAGAGAATTGAGCTAGAAGCATATTATTAATTATAATGCATTTATTTCTGATGTGCATGCACAGTAAAATCTGAGCACTGCACAAAAGTACATTTTGTAGAGATTTGCAGCAGTTTTGATAGCTTAACTCATGCGTTGAACATGTTTGCAGTTTCTTTGCAAGACTCAGGCTTGAATGAGAAATCATTTATGCATTGACCTGTAAATCACTAACTAGATAAGCAGGCAAATGTTATTATGAGAGAGAGTCTAAACTCTCGTGAGAGCTGGGTTACAACACACACACACATCTTTTTGAGGACATTCAATGATAAAATGCAATCCCTAGCCCCTTACCCTAACCTTAATCACAACTAGTGCCTAACCCTTAACCTAAGTCTAACCGTAACCCTAAAACCAAGTCTTAACCCTCAAATAGCCCTTTAGGGGTGACCGAATATGAGGAATGGACAAAAGTTCCTCACTCCAATGATCTAAAACTCAAAATGGTCCTTATAAATGTAACTGTACAAGTACACACACGTTTATCATGCACTGACAAAACTAAATACAGGTCAGCTGTGTGATCATGGGAAGGCGTCTTCAGACACACAGCAGCATCTCAAGACTGATTACAGACACAAACACACTCAACATGCAGTCAATCTATAAGACAGCTGTGTGTGTTTATGTGTTTGTAGCCTAGTGAAATCAAGGTCTATAGAGGAACTTTATACTGATGTTTGGGGTTAAAGGTCGAATTGAAACACATGCCTGAGTTATGATGGCAAAGGTTGCTTAAGGATCACTGCTGTCCAACAACACTGTCTAGTGTACGGCTGGGTATTGACACGAATTTCACGATTCAATTCCGATCTAGATTTAATTTGATTTAATATCAATTAATTTGGACATATACCAGGTATAGTACACAGCAAAAAAAAACCTCTCTCAACACATGCTGTAATTATACAGGGAGCCCTGTGAGTTTAATATTAATATTAATATTATAACTATAATATTAATGCTAAATTCAATTCAGTAACCACACTACAAAATCGTCTCCAACAGAAACTTAAAATGAATGAATTATCAAGTTAATAATTGCAAATATATTTTTGGCAGCATTCAGCAAAAAATAACAATTTAAAATACACAGTGCACTTAAAAAAACAATGGCAAATGCTGAACTTCCATCAAGTCAGTCACGGCAATAGTTTGATTATTATGGGTAATCTGCATGCAGCACAAATAGAGGCAGGATTGAATTTTTTTTTATTGAGTTGATCAGCGAGTCTTGAGTCTCGAAACCATGTCATGTTCTTCTTAAGAAAAACAAAACTCTTAAAGGTGAAGTATGTAGTTTCTGCAACACTAGTGGCACCTATAACAAAAATAAAGCATATTAATAAAGCCTTCCACAACTCAAACATCACAAACACAGCTCTTACAGGTGCTTGTTAAGGCATGTCAAAGTAAAAGTAGGCTTTAATAAAAGGTCCAGCATATTAGAATTAATACTTTTAGCTGTGTTGATATGTGTAATGAGGAAACAAGTGAATATAGACTATAACCATGAATGGTATACTATTAGTCAATGAACAATTAGCCTTGTGTAGCCAGACGTTCAGACTGACTCATAGCAGACTTTATAGCAGCCCAGAGGCGTCTGACTGACATGTAAAGTAACCAATCACAGTTCGTTTTGTTCCGCGTCATGTTTAGGGCGTGAAAATATAACGTGTAAAATATAACGATGTCCCTACAATAACAGACGCGTGTGTAAAACTCTTGGACGTATTTTAAAGAGTCTATACTGAAAACTTTCCATACTTCACATACTTTTGAAAATTCAGCGTTTAGTTGATCCTGATAAGCTTCATTGTCACAGTTTTAAACACAATGGTTTTCTTCTTCCATAACATCTTTGTTTTCAGGCGGACCGTTAAAGAACGCGACACACACGTCTCCTGGAAATCCTGTAGAAATTAGATGACAACTTCGAAACTCCTGAAGTTTTTTCCAATTTTGTGTGCCATATGCATCAGACGTTCAGCCAACGATCCGTGAGCGTCTGAGGTTGAGACTAATGATCAGTGAACTGGGTTAAGAGAATGCATTTTAACAAAAAAAATCTTACATTTACATTTATGCATTTGGCGGATGCATTTATGCAAAGCGACTTACATTGCATTTCAAGGTACACATTTACATTCGTATCAGTTCTTACTGATAAGAACTGATAAGAAGGTTACATACTTAACCTTTAAAAATTTGAGAATTTTTCAAGAATTGCACCCTGCTCAAGATTTTCGTGAATCTGGCACCAGATCAGATATTTCTGCACAGTATTTACTCAAAATGCATAAAAATAAATGACGCTGGTTAGGCTAGCCTGCTAGTAGATTTAGAAGGCAATGCCATTATGTTAACTGGTCAGCAACAATAATATTTTGGCTGAATTAACTACAAGCTTTAAAAATAAAAATAAACGATCCAATTCAGTTTATGCACATTCTGTTTGGGTTATGTAATTATGCTATTGTCTGAATTTTCTCATTTCTCTTTGAAATCACTTTAAGCTCATGATCTGAACTGACGAGAATACTATTTACCACACAGCAACACATATTATTGACAGAGAACACATGACACACACATGCCTCTTGCACTTTGACCTTCACACTCTAATTTGACACATAAAGTGCAGAAGAATGTCCCTTCAAGGTTGATTTTCTGAAAAGTAATGTCTTTGTCAGGGAAACAAACCAGACATTTCAACCAGACGCTTTTTTCATTTCTGTTTGATGCTGCAATTACAATAGCAAAAAAAAAAAAAGAACTTTTAAAAATTATACTTTATAGGTCAGACTTTGCCTCACAAATCAAAAAGCTGGCAACCAAACACTTGATCTCAGTTATTTCCCAACACGTCTCATAAAGAAGGTTTTCAACAGGAACTATGGCTCGTAAATGTCTTGTTAACAAATACAATAACTGTCAAATAATGAAAAGCAATGCATTTATACATGACTGATGCAAATTCTCTCACGTTCATGTGTGTTTGTTCCCAATCAAAAAAATTCCCTCTGATGCTTATCAATCTGATCAAGAAATTGACCGGACAATTCATTAATGATTTATTTAATATACTCTGTTATTATCAGATTATATTAAATAACCATTGTAACCTTCTACTTAACACAATAAAGGTTTGATATTTATTGCCACTCAAAGGTCACAAAAATATAACATTTTATATAATATTATATGTCTAACCTTTTTGACCTGACCTTAATCTAAACAGGCAAACCTTTCAGCAAAGTACTCATTTATTTTCATAAGTTTCAAAGTCATTCAGCCAACATAAACACATCAGCAATAATAAAGAAATATGCTTCATCCTTTTCCATGTTCTCTAATTATTGAATGAGGAAGTCTCTGTGTTTATAGTTACGTAACAAATCCACAACAACACAACGGTCAGCATTCAGTTCTGCTCTAGATCACACTGTTCAAAACATGATCTACAGAAACACACACACATACCAACGAAAACCATCAAATATGCCATGAAACATTCAGTCAAGCAAAGGTGGTCTCTTAAAACTTTAAAACCATGTATTAGAAATCTCTCTCTATCCCACATTATAAAATATATATTTAATGGCCTTACTATAATAAGCTCCTATAATAGATAAGTTATATTATAATGCATTTGTGATTATAACACTGGCATATGATACAATAAGCAATCACATAATACCAATAAGGTACTATAATATATGTAAAAGTAAATGTAATGCATACATGGACTTACTGGCATCATTAAATTACCATATCATACTCACATATCAACTAAGGTCGATAAGCCTGATGATAAGGTTGATAAGCTAGATACATAACAATACATGACCTTGTGATTATAATTAATTCATCATAAAATCTCAACAAGATTCATTAATATATTTTAATGCACATGACTTTCATTATATGGTCATAAACAAGCAGAATAACCATATTAGGCCAATAAGAAAGAGACAATTGATGGCATTATACCAAATCATAATCAAAACCAATGGTCAATAAGCTGCATGCTGTCATAGGGTGAATTCAGGTTAACTGAGACAATTTTTGCCATTGAAATGACTGGGAAAAGTGTCCCAATCAACCTGAATTGACCCCTATATGAGCCTGTAATTATGATAAGCTCAAGCATTTAATCATATAAGGTCAAAAAGATTAATATAATAATGCTTATGAGTATTCTCTACGTTATATTAAAATATATAAAATATATTATAATGAATATCAATACATTATTTATATTTGGCATATTTGTGCATATATATATATCCTATATATGCACCCTAACCCTATATATGCACAAATATGCCAAATATAAATAATGTATTGATATTCATTATAATATTTTTTTTAATCATATTTGAGTGGTATAATCGCAGCTCTTACCCCCCAGCATGTGAGGCGTCAGGTGTGCAGGTAAAGAGCCGATCATCAGTGTTCTCTGTCCGTCAGTCTCATCTCTCCGGCCGCTGGTGGGTATAATCGCGCTCTGGATGAATGAGCCGGGTCTGTGTGATGAATACTGGACCCGTTCACCGATCTGACCCGTCGACCCGCCCGCGTAATAGCGCAACACCGCAGCTCGCGCGCTCCCGCTGTTCACATCGGACCCGGAGAAAGACCTGACCCGGACACCCGCGGACGGACTGCTCTGTTTCGGACCCATCCTTTATAATATCAGTCTTTAAAACTCCTAGAAGCCACGAACTGAACCTGCAGCCTCAAAATATCGATAGGTAAAAACCAAAAAAACGCAAAATATGCATTAAACGCTCAATAGAGCGAAGCCCAGACAACTTTTCACACTTCCCGAGGCAGATGTGAGTAAATCCAGTCGAGCACACCGCAAACTAACTCAAACACAGTGATGTCAGGATCACGTGATTCACTGCTGCTTCCTCCTGCACTGTTGCCTCCCCTCCTTGTCTCACTGGTTTTGCAATGATATTACTGGTTTCCTAATAACTGTTTTTACTTTTTCTCTGCTTATTTGAAGTTCTCTATTATTATTACATTTCAATGAAATATTGATATGCTTATCTACTACTTCATTACCTTCTTCTCCAACATGCAGGAATTCAGAAATGAAATATTACTGCCAATGTTATTACGTAACTTTATCTATTTCAAAATTTCTAGAATTATGTCTTGGCTGAACTGTCCAGAATCTGAGTATATAACTCCTTCTCCGAGAGCCAATCTGAAGCGTTTTTTTCGAATAATTATCAAATATCGTGGATTAAATGCTGCTGCTATTCTTTTGATCCTTTAAGCATCTCTGTAAAGAGATTTGTCATATTACTATATTTCTACTCAGTGTAGTCATTAACACCTAGCCCACTTCAATTACTGACTTCATGGGTAAATTGAAACTTGCAACCCCATTCACATCTCATAACATACAAAGCCTAATATTTAATGTCAAATTTACATCCAAGCAAAGTCCACGAATGTGTCATGTGTTCTGCTGAAGAAGGTTACAGCTTGTACTGTATGTGTGTGGAAAACAGTGAGCGAATAATTATGAAAACACAGAGCTAAGAAATACAGAATACACTCATAAGGTTCAAATTTAATTGCTGAATTTTAGGTTACAGTACATGCTGACCCAAACAAGTTTTACTCCAGTTTAATTCTAAATGACTCTAAACAACAGGTTGATCAATATTCATCTAAATCAATGACAATATTTCCAATTACCACATTGTAAGATTTGAACAATGTTCTTAGAAATTAAATTAGTTATAAAGGTGACTCAAATATCATCCACAAATGGATTATATACATAAATACATAAATATAATAAAATGGTACCATATAATAAACAATAGATAAATATGAATAAATAATAATAATTAAAATAATATGAATAAAACAGGAATCACAAATCCAGTACAGAACTGTTACATTAAGACAAAAATAATATATTTAAACAAACAAATACATTTTATTGTTAAGCAAAATTAGACAAAAAGTGGCAAAGTTGAGAAGTTTATCACCGAAGACTTTTGGACAAACAAAACCAAATAAAAATCACAATCTGGTACGGAGCGTTAACGGTTACATAACTACATAAAGACAGTCAGAAAAACAGCAGCTTTGACCTCAGCAACACACTTCCGTATAACGTTGGTGTGACTTCATCTCTACGCTCGACGTGTGCAGGAAGACACTATGGAAGCAGAAGACGGAGGAGGATCAGCGTCAGCACATTCACGTACAGTATGTCCTGGAGAAACTGTCCTTCAGGCATCATCATGATGAGATATGAGACAGCAGAGAGATAAATGATGCTTTAAAGAGGTCACATGACCATGAACCGCAGTGACATCAATCAGCCGATATACACTCTTCAAAATAAAGGTTCCAGGGACTCACAGGAAAATTCCACAAAGAACTTTTCATTCTCTAGTTCCTAAAAAAGAGCATTCTGGAAAGTTCTGGTGAATTAAAGAACGTCATAATTTGCCTAATCAATGTTTTGAAGAAGTACATAACCACTCAAGAACTCTATGAGGCCCAAAATAAAAAGGTTCTTGATAAGAAGTGGATTCAGATGCGCTGAAGAACCTTTATTTTAAGAGTGTGAAACAGAACTTGTTTTCTTGAATTGGATACACAGTTTTATCTTTCTCTGGTTAAGCTCAGAGTTAAGCTTTCTTAACTCGGAGGACTAGATACAATATGTTGATTAATACAATCAAAAGACAATCAAGGCAAAGAGAGGATTAAAATAAGAGCGTTGTTAGAAATTTCCCCCATCCAAACACACAATAACCTTGTCACCTCTTCCTCAGCGATTATCAGACTTCTGATCTGATCCTTGACCACAGATGCTTTGTATGCGCTTGCAATCAGCTTTGGTTATTTGTCATTTAGAAGTGATTTAAAGTACATTTCAACACAAGCACAATCCCACAGAAGTGACCCAGGGTTAGAAGTCTCATTCAAGGATACAACAAATCCACAATCGACATCTAGATTCTGATGAAATCAAAATTGACCCTAATTACTTTCATATTGCATGTTCCTGGTTTTATTGTGACGGATTAATTGGTGCAGATTATTCCCACCAAAAATAAAAAGACGTAATCTTTAATTATTCAACTTGAGCATGTTCACACAAGTGTTATGTTCAGAGCAGCATACGACTCTATTTTGCAGTATATATGTTAATTTTGTGTGTTGCATGGAATATCCCAATGATATTCAACATTTATTCAAATGTGCAGTATTTATGCTAGGGACTGTATCCCATAATGCAATGCATTTACCTTCCATTTGCAATTTGATAATGAATAGGAACGAAAATAAAATTTGATCAGACTATGAGGAACTAAGGTGTTTTTACCACATAATTGGATTCAAAACATCCTTATTTTTGAAGATGACAACAGCACGCCACTCGCTGAATTAAACATGCAACGTAATCATGTGACAACAATCCAGCATTATTCTATTCTGAACATATTTACTACCTTATGATCTTTACGTCACCTCCAGTCACATGATGGGTTAGGGAGATTTAAAAATAAAAAAAGAGAGAGCTGGGAATGAGATATTTGTTTTCATCTCTGCTTGAATGTGATTAGAGTTATCATGACATGACAAATATTGACATGAGAGTTAATATAGATCAAAATAACATGATCATCTGAGTTAAAATCAGGGTGCAGGAAAAGCTGTCCAGATATTAAAGGGTGTAATGATGCAGTGTGTGTGTGTGTGTGTAAGGAGAAGAGCCAGTGAGTAAGGTTACGAGAGCAGGGCTTGATGCAGAGACTGAGCCTCACTGCTGGCCATTATTGCTGGCTCACACCCATCTGCTGGTGGTCTGGCTCTGGTTCCTCCTCCACGTCTGCATGATACTGATCGAATGTGTCATCATCGATATCTGGAAGACCCAGGAGCTGCAGGACAGGTTCACAATCATTCCATACAGAACAGAATCAAACCAGAACAGAATAGAATGTTCAGATGCAACATGCATTCCATTAGAAGATTGTAAACTATGCTAGCCTGGTTAAAACCAGACCATTCTCATTTGTAACTGAGTTATGGTCTGGCAAAGCGTCATAGACAAATCATTTCCAGAGGGGCGTCCCCAACGGACGTCGCGGATAGACCTAAACCCAATCAGAGCGATGAAGGAGATGACGTATGCAGAGCGGCGGAGACACATCTCCGAGTGTTGTTCTTTGCTCGGTTTTTAACTAAAAGGAAACGTTCAAATGGCTTAAAACAGACGCGATAGCTGATTCGAACGAGTGATGTTCGACGGCGGCATCCATCTTTGTAATGTAGGCTACAAAATCTGCTTTAAAATCCCAGCGCTGTCGTCATCGTGTAAAGCCCGCCCCAACGTTTCTGATTGGTGCCGCGATTTCGGCGGATTGGAAATGGGCTTGAATGAGCTCTTTGCCAGACTAACTTTCAGAGCAAATCTAAATTTGCCGGAAGTTGTCTTGGTTTTCCCAGGCTAAAACTATGGGGTAGTTTTAAACATATTTTAAACATATTTTACTGAAGCAATATTATGGGCCTTAGTCTTACACTTCCTATTTGAGCCGATGCGGATGAATGAGCAAAGTTAATTCAGGGCAAGACCACCCCGAGTGTAAAGCCTAACGTGATTGGTTGTAGCGAGAACCTGCTATGATTGGTCAGCTCAATGTGGCCGTTATCTGATTGGCTTGAGGAAACGGTGGGTGGAGTCCACTTATTTGTGAATTTGTCTGCACGTCGACGCTAGAAGTGTTTCAAAATCCACAAATGCACAGAAAGCGCTTCACAAATAAATGCCAGGTAGAGTTGTGTTTGTGATATTTTTTTATTTGCAAATCTCATTTGATTTATTTGTGAAATGTATACATTTTTGTGAAACTCTTTACATATATTTATGGATCTTAATCTATTTATTATTTGTGAATTTGATACATTTTTGTGAATCTCTTTACATTTGTTTGTGAATCTCAATCTATTTATTTGGAATAATGCAACAATTCTAACCCCATAGTAAACAGCTTTGGTACTATTTTCACATGTAAGGTGTACATTTTCAAAACTCTTAGTGATAATATCACAACAGATCATCAAAAGTGCACTTTTTTCAAACATTTCATCATGTTTTCAGTTGTGTTAGTACAATACTCAAAATCACAAAGTGTTCTTTTCACAACACAAAATAACTGTTTCATCTAAATAAATGTTTTTTTCACCGTATCTGCCGTACATAATGCCATTACTATCAAATGTTTGATTTGCATCTCTTCTTGTTCAGTTTAGTTTAATACATTTGTCTATTATTTAATCCAACTGATCTTAATGGTTAATCAATGAATCATTTGGTATCTATAGATTTCTATAGATACAAATTCTATAGATATAGTTTCTACTTTTTGTGTGTGTGTGTGTGTGTGTGTGTGTGTGTGTGTGTGTGTGTGTGTGTGTGTGTGTGTGTGTGTGTGTGTGTGTGTGAGAGAGATTTGCAATTTGTGAACATAAAGCAGGATAGAGTACGAAGGAGAAGAATCAGGCTATAACATCAGATTGATCAGAGATGCATCAGAAGAAGGGAGACAGATGGCATGAAATACAGTACATTACAGTATGTATGCCATGTGATACTGTAAACTGATTACCATGGTAGAGACTGGCACATTACTGTAACTCACCCGTCATCTGTAAAGGTCCACTACAGTATAGAGTCATATGGCACAGTGAACACATTTACTGTATTGCCAGCAAAATCTGTTCTAGCACAAAACCTCATGACAGTTTCATAATTACATCACACCTTTTGATAACACACTGGATAGATACTATTACAAACATTATGGATTCATTTTCATAAGTTATGTAATGTAAGTGTATTTTCTAATGTGGCAACTGTAGCCTGTGTTACTGTAATCATTTTAGCAACAAGGCTGAATTGAAAAGTATTTTGCATTGTTTGCTGTTGAATTAATTGATTGTTAAAAGTACTAAATTTAAAGAAGATCACTGTTGTGTTTCGGTGATTAAACCAAATGTTCTCATTACATTACAATAATCTTGTGTTTGAAACAATGATTATGTGGACTGAAATGTGTGTAACTGTAATGAAAGCATGGGATCAGGTTTTGAAAGAATGACTGCTGTGTTACAAGTGTGATAAGTTTGGATTTTTTTTTTTACTAAAAGTTTTGAAAATGTACACCTTGTAAAAATAGTACCAAAGCGAATTAAAAAAATAATGAGTTATACCTGTCTGAATAATAGTTTATTGTGTTAAATGTGGAGTGAGAGAGACTTACAGGCCTGAAGGATCTGAAGACTTTGTCCAGCACCTCCAGCAGTGTTTTCTTCCCGCAGGAGGAGATGTAGTCCTGCGCCAACTGGAGGAACGGTAGACAGTCCTCGCTCTCACTCCACACATGCTGAAAACACACACACACACATGCACACACACACACACACACGCACACACATGCACGCACGCACACACACACACAGGATTAGATTCAAAACATAATTTCACCAGCAGTTTAACCAAATATTTCACTCATAACTACATTTAACATTTACATTTATAGTTGAGACAGATGTTTGTGAATTAGAATTTTGATATTTACACTACCGTTCAAAAGTTTGGGGTCAATTTGTTTTTTTTTGTTTTTTAAAGAAATTAATACTTTTCTTCAGAAAGGACGCATGAAATTGATATAAAGTGACAGTAAAGACATTTATAATAATGCAAAATATTTATTTTTTAATGAAATGCTTTTCTCTTGAACTTTCAAAGAATCCTGAAAAAAATTAATCACTGTTTGCACAAAAATATGAAGCAGCACAACTGTTGTCAACTGTGATAATAATCATAAATGTTTCTTGAGCATCAAATCATCATATTAGAGTGATTTCTGAAGGATCATGTGACACTGAAGACTGGAGTAATGATGCTGAAAATTCAGCTTTGATCACAGGAATAAATTACATTTTAAAATATATTCACATAGAAAACTGCTGTTTTACATTGAAATAATATTTAACAATATTACTGGGTTTGTTTTGTATTTTTAATCAAATAAATGCAGCCTTGGTGAGCAGAAGAGACTTCTTTTAAAAACATAACAAATCTTACCGACCCCAAACTTTTGAACGGTAATTTAAGATTGTATTCTTTAGTGTGTGTGTGTGTGTGTGTGTGTGTGTGTGTGTGTGTGTGTGTGTGTGTGTGTGTGTGTGTGTGTGTGTGTGTGTGTGTGTGTGTGTGTGTGTGTGTGTGAGTGTGTGTGTGTGTGTGTGTGTGAGTGTGAATATTTATTCAACCGTATTTCAATCCTGCTTTATATACTTATTTAACTAATGGTTTATATATATAAATATATATTGAATGCAAAGTCACTTTGTATAAAAGCATCTGCCAAATGCATGAATCTAATTTTTATATTTTTCCTCAATGGAGTTGCAAAGCCCAGTAAACAATGTTTAACGTGCTCCTGACAAACCTTTACACATCTAGAAATCATTCGCAATGGAGAGAATTTGTACAATTATATCTGCACTGATCTCCTTTGGAAAATCAGACTACAAATATGCATGAGTAAAAATATTTGTATTAATACAAACTCCCTGGTATATTTATTCCTGGCTTTATTAAATAGGTGCATACGGTAAATGGATAAAAGGAATTCTCTGAACTCAAAGTTGAGCTTCCTGCAGAGAATCTGGGACACTAAAACTCTTTGTCCCGTTATAATTATCCGAGCGAGAGGGACCGTTTTTCAGGAGATGGCCCAAATAATCTTCTCCTCCCAAACGGCATTTAAGAAAAATGTCTAATGAGGAAACAGAATCGGATTCGAATATAATTCAATAGACCAAAGAGTTCAGTTAGTAAAAGTCAAATGAATTGTGTTCTACAATACATTTCTGTTGTTTATTGTTTGTTTACTGATACTGGCACTCAGAATATCCCAGAGAGCAATAACAAAAAAAAAGTTGTGTGCTGTTATAACTAAGATAGATCAATGTTTTGTGTGTTGAATGCTGCACACTTCATGCTAAATGATATAAGGCCAGTTTCAGTGCATGTGCTGCTCTGGATTGTGGCAGCTTTGAGAACAAGGACATGACACACACACACACACACACACATCATCATCATCATCATCATCATCTCTCAACTCCCTGTTATTTCAATCATAGGTTTCTCTGGACTTAACAAATATATGATCATCTCAAATCTTTTGTGGCTGTTCATTCATGTCAGTTTGAGGCTAACATCTATATGCATGTCCTAGAAAAATGAAAAGTTTACAATAGTTCTAATGCTCAACTAAAGGGTGTTAATATGTCCTACACGGACTTCCTGTTTCAACAGGGAACGTCAACATATGGTGAAAAACTTTATTTGACTGATTTCAGAGATTATTTATGCATCTGTCAGAGCTCTCAGGAACAGAGAGGAAAACCTCCCAACCAGAGGAGCTCCACCAATTCACATCAATCCACCAGTTAGATTCACTTAAAGTACTGGCAAGACATTCTTATAATGTTAAAATGTCTTTTTTTATATATATATTTAATTTTAAAACCAGCATTAGCAACTGTTCAAAAATTAAAAAAGCTCACCAGAATGTAGCCAAACCAAATGGGTAACACTTCACAATAAGGTTAATTAATACATTAAATATCAATGAGCAATACATTTGTTACAGTATTTATTAAAAATACGACTGTTCATTGTTAGTTCGTGTCAGCTCAGGTCCATTATATAATTATACTTTTGAGCATGTGTTAGTAAATGTTTAAATGAACATAAACTAAAATTACTAAATGCTTTATAAGTATTTTTTATTGTTAGTTCACATTAACTGGTGTTGTAAACTAATGTTAACAAATGAAACCTTGTAAAGAGTTAACACTAAATGCAAGCTTGCTAAAACAACGTCCAAACAGCTATTTGCAAATGGGTTATCAATCCCTGCACAGCACTTATAAAGTCTGAGGCCACGAGCAAAAGTGCTTCTTTTTGCATCCTTTAGTATTTCATTATATATTTTATTATTATCATAACCATCAGAGTGAAAATTCAAACCGAAAAATCGCATGCACTAACGTACTTATTTTATAAGTGATATGCATGCACAATTACTGATTTTACACCATTTAAAGAAAAAAAAATTTCTAAGTTTAAATGGACAACAATCCCAGATTTGTAAATGTTTTTAAAAAAAATTGGCCCTACTGTATTTTTACCTATCAATAATGTAAAATCTCTCTCTCTTTCTTTCTCTCTCCCTCTCTCTCTTTCTTTCTCTCTCCTTCTCTCTCTCTCTCGCTGTCTCACACTCTCCCTCTCTCTCTCTCTCTCTCTCTCTCTCTCTCTCTCTCTCTCTCTCTCTCTCTCTCTCTCTCTCTCTCTCTCTCTCTCACACACACACACACACTCTCCCTCTCACACACTCTCCCCCTCTTCCTCTCTCTCTCGCTGTCTCACACTCTCCCTCTCCCTCTCTCTCTCTCTCTCGCTCTCTCTCTCTCTCTCTCACACACACACACACACACACACACACACACACACACACACACACACACACACACACACACACACACACACACACACACACACACACACTCCCTCTCACACACTCTTCCCCTCTCTCTCTCCCTCTCTCTCTCTCTCTCTTGCTGTCTCACACACTTCTCTCTCTCTCTCTCTCCCTCTCTCTCTCTCACACACACACACACACACACTCCCTCTCACACTCTCTCTCTCTCTCCCTCTCCCTCTCTCGCTCAGTGACCCTGCTGATGGTGTGGTATTGATCAGTCTGAGTAATAAGAGCCGTGTCCTGCTGCTGCATGAGCTGTGGGACTGCAGGGTGATGCGGTCGGTCTGATCATGTGCTGTGATGTCAGGGAAACTACAGTAAACTATTGTGCTTCATTTCAAACAGATGCTCAAACAGAAAGCAAACAAGTATCCAACAGACATGTGCAAGGGGAGCATTACTGCAAATGCAGCATGTGTTTTTACTACATCACTACACCAAAAAACCGAGCATATCTGCACTATATCCCTCAATGACAGGGAACTGTGCAGATTTAGACCTTTGTGCCGATAAAACACATTAACACACACCTCATGGCCCTGAAATGGAGCTGATGCAATACCTGTCTGGCCAGAACATATGCATCAGTCTACACAGTGCATATTACACTTAAAATGAAATTGTTGGAAGATGCATCCTAAAACCCAACAGCATCCAACAAATCCAGCCAAGCATGTGTAGAGAAAGTACTGCAGTCAACAACAATGACATCATTTCATTGTCTTTCCGATAAAGGCCTTAAAACACATGCAAAAAAAAAAAAAAAAGTATATCGGCAATACCAGCTCACAGTGATAGTATACAATATACACGCGTGATTTCCATCTAATCCACTCCAATAAACAGGCCTGTGTATAATAACATGCGAATACCATAGTAGCAGGTCCAGAAACCATGGTACTTTTTATAATTGAGACAAGAGACTGTTTAGATTACAAGACAGCAGTATTCACACACACACACACACACACACACACACACACACACACACACACACTCGGGCGCGCGCACAGCTCCCCCTCCCCCCGAGGATATTTCTCGATTATGTCATACTTACAAAATTGTCGGTTCCTCCCGTGAGATTGTCCGGGCAGAGCACGTAGAACGAGATCCCGGGCTCGGCGTAGAAGTCCAGCCGCCTCTCGTCCACGTCCTCGGCGAAGATCAGGTCGAAGGGGTTCCCGGAGCACCATTTCTCCGCGGTGTCCACCAGCTCTTTAAACTCCATCCTGATGATGCTGATGCTGCGGATGCTGAGCTCTAACGCTGCGTCGTCATGGTGATCAGAGAGGATTCGTGTTTGCTGAGGTCTCACTGTCTCATATCGGCCTGTATTCGAGTGTTTCCGAACTGGACCTGAAGGACCGGACCCGGTTCAGCCCGCCTGTGCGGAGAACAACGCCTGTCCTCTAGCAGGATGACGTCACATGACAACACATGCGCCCTCGTCATCATCTGCATAAGAGACCATCTCTAAAGAGACACCCGTTTCCTCAACTGCTCAAACTTACTACATATATAAATAATAATATCTTTTTGATGCTGTAGTAAATATGAATTATTTTTAACAACAATAACATTTCAAGTGTATGCTGACATACGTCTTTTGTAAAGAAATGTATACGCAATTTATATTTGTTTACATTGTTTAGGAATTTAAATAATTTAAGAGTAAGTCTTTAAATCAATTTATATTACATCATAGATATTATTAAGATTAATTATTTATAACTATTCCATTGTGTGTGTGTGTGTGTGTGTGTGTGTGTGTGTGTGTGTGTGTGTGTGTGTGTGTGTGTGTGTGTGTGTGTGTGTGTGTGTGTGTGTGTGTGTGTGTGTGTGTGTGTGTGTGTGTGTGTGTGTGTGTGTGTGTGTGTGTGTGTGTGTGTGTGTGTGTTTGAAATGGCACTGTAGGTTGTATCTATTGTGCTCCACTAGAGGGCGCCCTCAGTCCAGTGTTTGGAGCAGTGGGAGAACAGAACGAAAATTTTAATCGTAACAATTATACATAAACAATTCTAGAATTTTCAATTATTTTATATTTTAAGAACATTCTTCTTCTTTTTTTTTTTTTTAATCTAAAGTTTTGTCTTAAGAACAATCTTATGGAAAAATATAAGAACATTCACGCAATGTTGTGGTGAATACAAAATATCCTTAACCTTTTTTTCCGGAAATAATGCTAAAAACAGTTCAGTTAAGAATAATTATATTTTTAAGAATAGTGAATCATGACAACAAGCGCAACAGCGTTTTCTCTCGTCGTGCTCGGGTAGGCCCTACAGTAGTTTTGTCTGTAATTGCAAAAATTAAAATATAATGTATAATTGCAAAAATGTATTTAAATAGAGTGTATTTAACAGGTACTATAGGTAAGTTACTATGTTAACCTATGCTCTAAATTGGTTATATAAGATAAATCTCTTTAAACAAGAATCATGTGACGCAAAAGAAAGAAGCAGCAGACGATGGACACACAGCACAACATATCAAGTTGAGATTTTAATATGTTTTAATATGTGACAGAGATACTCGTTATTGTATAACGAGTGGTAAGGTAGTGGTTCAGGTTGCAAAACTTATCTTTATTTATAAATATGCCGGAGTGTGTAACTTCTCTATCGCGGCGCACACACGCGCATGCGCAGAGGGCAAGCTAAACCCAGCTAGAATTTTTTTGTTCTAAAAATGATCTGAGAACATTACCATGCATTGTTCTAATAATGTTTTCAGCGGGTAGTTTTCTTTTTGTTCCCAGAATGTTCTCCTAAAAGTTCTAATATCATTCTTTAAAAACATTCTAAAAATGTTTAATGCTAACATTGTTAGAACATTATTCCCTAATGTTCTTATAACATTTTCAGCGGGTAGTTTTCTTTTTGTTCCCAGAATGTTCTCCTAAAAGTTCTAATAACATTCTTTAAAAACATTCTAAAAATGTTTAATGCTAACATTGTTAGAACATTATTCCCTAATGTTCTTATAACATTTTCAGCGGGTAGTTTTCTTTTTGTTCCGAGAATGTTCTCTTAAAAGTTCTAATAACATTCTTTAAAAACATTCTAAAAATGTTTAATGCTAACATTGTTAGAACATTATTCCCTAATGTTCTTATAACATTTTCAGCGGGCATAGTTTCTTTTTGTTCCCAGAATGATCTCTTAAAATATGGCATAACATTCTCTAAGAACACTCTAAAAATGTTTTGTGATGACCTTCTATAAAGGTTTAATCATAACATTTTTAGAACATTACATCCCCTAACATTCTTATAAAGTTTTTAGCGGGAAGTTTTATTTTTGTTCCCAAAATGTTGTCTTAAACAAAAAAAATGCTTAGCTATAACATTGTTAAAACATACAATTTTATTAATCTCAAAATTAAAACATCAAAATCTAACAGGTTTATAAATGCCATCCACATAAATTATTAGAAGTTCTGCGTACAGTAAATGCCCAACATTACATGAAGAACTCAGTAAAGTCACTCATGCATCTTGACTGCTGTGTTTGCTCAGAGCGCTCATCATCAGTCTTTGCTTGTCTTGGTTCTTCAGAAGAGTAATCCAGTCATCTGTATTAAGATTAGGTGTTCTACTGTTCTTCTCTTCTAGTTGTCGCTGCTCGCCCAGTTAGCAGCATTGAGCTCTGTTCTCTGTGTGCATGGTAGTTTTTCCTCATAGCCTATACAAGAAGATCATGCAACAGTGTAAACAGAAAGAATACAAATACATACATATTAAGATCACAAGCAATATTGACATTGACAACTTTCAAAATTAGCCAGCCTAATTAGTAATCAGAAATTATGTAAAGACTAATTTATTTAAAGTATAAATATGATACCTTATGAGTATCTTTTTTTTCTGTAATTTAAAACATATACTTAATCCATTATATACATGTTAATAACACAACTAAAGGCTAAATTATGTGAACAAACTTTGATGTTGGCTTGAGAAGCCTGAACCTCGAACCAAGACTGGAACTCAGGTCGCCCTGAGCACAGCTCCAGCATCACAGCGCTCGTTGCCCACTGGGCTATTGCTCTGACTTAAAGCTCATTTTCATCAGTTATATTGTCTATGGATCGTTACATTTCGTTACGTTACAATTCTGCTTGTTTTAAATCAGATACAGATAAAGTAGCACTGCATTTGAATGCATTGGCGATAGAACAATTTCTAGAGTGAATTAATCATACCTGTAAGTGCAGCGTCTCTTTGCTATTAGTAGTGAAGCTGTTATTTTAGTCAATAAAGTTTTAAATATGGATATTTTTCTTACACAAACGCATCGCTTCGCTTCAAAAGGCCTTTATAACCCCGCCAGAGCCGTGTGGATTACTTTTATCATGGATGGATGCATGAGCATGATAGACTTAAAACAGAAACGGCCATTCACTGCCATTATAATGCTCGGAAGAGCCAGGACATTTCTTTATATAACTCCGATTGTATTCTGAAAAAGAAGAATGTCATATACACCAAGGATGACTTGAGGGTGAGTAAATCATGGGCTAATTCTCATTTTTGGATGAGATCTTTTATGGTCTGTGTTAGGTGCTTTTAGCACTAAAGCTCTAGGAGTTAAGAGTTGAACATTTTTGTCTCAGAAATCAGAATAATAATATTTAGTTTAAATAGGTTAACAATATGTTGGCTTTCCTAAACCAACATAATTATTTCCTAACATTTGAACAAGATTACTATAATCTGTACTATAATATAGAGGTAATTCTATGAAGATTTACAACAAAAGTTACAAAACCACTTACCAGTTGCAAGGCTCGGAGCAACCTGCTGGCTCTTAACATTTAAATCAACAAAACAACAACACCATTATGTTCTACTACACTCATTATAAGTTTATTAGCCATGTGACGTTTTTTAACCCTTCGTTACCACCCTAGTACTACAACAGTCTCAATACAAATCGATTTCTATTCCTTTAATGTGAGAAATACATTGTACAAAGTGGCTACAGTTTGTTTTTAGAATTTTCCAAAATCTGTGTCCTGAAGCAAAACCACTGTGTTTTCTGTTGGGTTCAATGTGCAAGAAAAAGGTCACGGTGTGCTTTTGGGGAGTTGCCACATTGTATTACAGTTAAAACAATTCAATAATCTTCCTAATGATTGTAATATTGTCTTGTCTACATATTTCACAAGAGAGTGTTGGCTGAATTCTACTCTGGGCTAAATGATCAGCAGGTGCTTTAGGGCTAAAAGATGGGATTCTAATAACTCTATTTATTATTATTATTTCTAATAGCTATATTTAATGTTAACATTAATACAGAGCCTCTGGGATGTTAGCTGTCTGTCAGTAAAAAAAAAAAAAAAAAATGTGAGCCTTGTATTTGCAGCTGTGTCAATGTTAAGGGTCATACCATTCAGAAAAGTCATCATAGGTGATTTTAACATTTGAGTAGCAGAGTGTCTATTATTCTATTTTCACATCCTCACAGCTTGATTGACATTTCCTTCTGTTGCTTGAGTCGCTGCCAGAAATACCTGAGGAATGGTCATTGACAGCTTGGAGCATGTGTTGAGTGAGTAGCACACCTCTATCCTCACAGATAGTTCGTTTTCATTGTCAACCCTTATCAACAATTCACTAAAATACCAGTTCTCAGCTTACATTTCTATGAAAGAATTAATTCAAACTATGTAAATCGAGTTGCTTTCACATTTGAAATTTGTACATTGCAAAGTATGATGAACTGTCTAGCATTTAAGGGATTTGTGAGGCGTGTCTTTTCATCGAAGCAACATATTTTGGCCCATATAAACTCATGTGTATTTGATCATAATACAATTTTAAAAAACTGTTTTTATCCTTAAAACAGCTGAGCGAACTTTTACAATGTTTAAATTTGAAAATAATAATAAAAACCTCAGGAATTACATGCAGAAAATGGTCTCTTTTCCCTCCCAGAAGACAGCATGACAATAGAAATTCATTTCTTTAAAAAAAAAAAAAACACATTTAAATGAATATATGCATTTTAAGAATTATATTCTCGAGGAATAGTGCAAAATCAAGCCTATCTTTAAATTAACCTATACCCTAAATCGAGAGTGTGCTATAATTGCAAATATTACATATAAGATAATATATATGCTGTTAAATATGTTACAGCATGCCTTGCTGAACTCTCACGTGTGGTTGATATATGATTAAAGGATCTATAGGAAAAGTCGTAATATTTTCCCCATAATAATGAGGCCTGTTGCTTGTAGCAGATGCGACTCGATCTTCGATGCACTTGAAGCTGCAGCCGCTGTAGCCGGAGCAGCCGTTGCAGCAAAAGCTGTAATAAAAAGATTAGCAAATTAGCTGGAACCGATCAAATATAATGCTTCATTCAAGTCAAAAAAGTAGACTAAAAGTTAGGGTTTTGTATCTTGACCCTATTATAATAACATTACAGAAGAATGTCTATTGAGTAAAAATGCTTACTGGAACCATTGACAGAAATTGTCTGGGAAATGATGTTCAATGCATCAACATTTCCCGTTTCTGCTGCTGTCAAAAGGGTGTCTGCAATCTCTTTTCTGGATGGTAAAGATTGGCTGAGGCTGAACACTAGTTGTGTTATCGTGATGATTGACCCTGGTCTGAAATATATTAAAGAATGTTATAGGGGAATCCATTTTGCAAGCACATATTATTATAAGTTCAATGTTCATGCTCAACACACACACACACACACACACACACACACACACACACACACACACACACACACACACACACACGCACGCACGCACGCACGCACGCACGCACGCACGCATGCACACACACACACACACACACACACACAAAGCATGGTTGCAATATGCTGTATTTACCTGAATCCTTGGACAATCACTCCAAGAAAGTTAACATACTTGGGTTTGTAGACCGCTTCAAGCTGGAACAAATTACAAACAATAAGGAATATACAAAGTTAAAGTGTTAGTCATTTTCTGTTTTTTACAATTGCTAGGACACATTTCTCAATAATTCTGTCACTTTTCCAAAACTCTTCACACAGTTCTCCTAACCAACCTTCATCTTGGTTGAAAGTTGGTCACAGCAGTTCATTTCACATTCAAAATGCACTAAAATCATGTCAATGTCTCAAATCAACTCATTCTTCCAGAACACTATTTCACACAACAAACACACTTTGTCTGTCATAAAACAAAAACCTAAAAACACAACAGCAGCTAGCGTAATGTTTCCTTTTGTAAAATGTCTCTACAAAACAACACTAAAAAAAATGACTCTTTAAACTTACTCAATTTAATTATGGACAGTGGTTCCACACAAGCAAATTATTTTTTATTAACATTAATGGAATTTGTTGAATCTATGTAAGCTCCTTGTGTTGTGACAACACAACTGAATCAGATAGAATCTATGTGAAATAGTAATGTCCAAACAAATCAATGGAATTGCTTCCCTGTAACTGATACAGACTTAATTGAACCGATATAGACTTTCATCGAACCTTCGTACAAGGTTTAAAACTAGTTCAAATGTGGCCATTGTGGACATATTTTCAACATCATTTATGGTCTAATTTAGACAGAATTACTTTGACTATTGCTGTCAGATGATCTTAGTGAGAATTAACAGAAGTTTAGATGTTGAGGTTTCATTTGAAGTGTCACCATTGTGGTGATAAGTGTTTGCTTTAGTTGGGCTCTTGGTCCCCTTTATTTTTACTTGAGCTTTTCTGTGGCTGCTGTATCTCCGTGTTTGTATAACACAGTCGATGTTGCAAAGAAAGTCAAGAATAAGTAAGATCAGGTGTTATCAGCTTCATGTTGATGTTGATGATGAAAGCTTTACAAAACATTCATCTAATGTTGTCAGACACTTTCGCATTTCTAGCCGCCACCATGTGGATCTGCAATACTGGCACCAATAGCATTTTTATGATCACTTATTTAGAGGTGGATAAAAATTATGTGCATACGATGTTCAGAGCAAACATATCATGTTGTCACACACAGACATCAAGATTTTACATATGATTCACAACAATGGTGACAATAAAAAAATGGTCATGCTGCAATGCATGATGGGTAGCTTTCATAGTTCAAAACTCATCATTGATTCCCAAGCTTTTTTGTTTTGATTGTCACCGTTGTTGTGATTCATATCCAAAATCATGATGTCTGTGTGTGACTACATAATACATTTGCTCAAAACATCATTTGCACATGCTTTTTATATTTTTAAAATATTTCTTATTCTATTGGCACCAATATTGCACTTCCACAAGGTTGGTAATGCCAAACATTAATACAATTTTAAACTCAACATTTAAAAACTTGATTTGTGATGATTATGTCATCATCAACATTGAGCTGATAACACCTGATCTAACTTTTTCTTGGCTTTCTCTGCCACAACAATTGTGTTATACAAACACACAGTTACAGCAGCCAATGAAAAGTTAATGTAAAAACTACAGGGACCAAGAGCCCAACTAAAGCAAACACTGATCACCACAATGGTGACACTTCAAATGAAACAAATATCTAAATATCTAATAATCTAAATATCTAAACTTCTGCTAATTCTCACTAAGATCATCTGACAGCAATAGTCAAAGTAATTCTGTCTAAATGAGACCATAAATGATGTTGAAAATATGTCCACAATGGCCACATTTGAACTAGTTTTTAACCTTGTACGAAGGTTCGATGAAAGTCTATATCGGTTCAGTTAAGTCTGTATCAGTTACAGGGAAGCAATTCCATTGATTTGTTTGGACATTACTATTTCACATAGATTCTATCTGATTCAGTTGTGTTGTCACAACACAAGGAGCTTACATAGATTCAACAAATTCCATTAATGTTACAGTTTTTTTCAATCGCTAACAAGCGCTTACCCATACTTCAGATACTTTTTCTAAACTCTTAACACAGACTCACACCTACAAAACACAATTGGCCAAATGGTTAATTTTCTTCTCAAAAACACATTTTGTTAAATATATACTAACTCTTCATTTCAAAATAGAACACATCTTTCTCCGCACACACTAACTTTACCAAAACGCTGGAAATCTGATTCAAAATGAAATTATTCTGTCAAAGAATAACACTTGTTTTCACTTCACACGGTACATGCAGTCAATCAAAGTACACCAGGTTTCAAAATACTGGCTATTGTTGACATTACAAAAACTGCATAGACTTTGATGTTTCAGTTTTACAGGTGTTTGCATACAAAACATGCAATCCAACCTTTTTACACTAAATTTCTTGGTTGGGAACTGTATGTCCACATGTACAGTAATGTTCACATTCAAAAGCATTCTAGTAAAAAGCAAATACGTTTTTTCCCTTTACTGTTTACAACAGGAGGTACAGTAGAAACACGGTATGATAGAACAGAAAAAGTTTTACAGTATTGCTTACAAAAAAAGCACAAAATTACTGTATTTAATCTCTGCGATCTTCAGGGTTAGGCCACATGTTTTCATCAAATGTTGCACTTCTGCACCTCTCACTGCATCTCTCACTGCATCTCTCACCGCACCTCTCACTGCACCTCTCACTGCATCTCTCACTGCACCTCTCACTGCACCTCACTGCACATCTCACTGCACATCTCACTGCACATCTCATTGCACATCTCACTGCACCTCTCACTGCATCACTCACTGCACATCTCACTGCACCTCTCACTGCACCTCTCACTGCATCTCTCACTGCACCTCTCACTGCATCTCTCACTGCATCTCTCACTGCATCTCTCACTGCACCTCTCACTGCATCTCTCACTGCATCTCTCACTGCACCTCTCACTGCACCTCTCACTGCACATCTCACTGCATCTCTCACTGCACCTCTCACTGCATCTCTCACTGCACCTCTCACTGCATCTCTCACTGCACCTCTCACTGCATCTCTCACTGCACATCTCACTGCATCTCTCACTGCATCACTCACTGCACATCTCACTGCATCTCTCACTGCATCACTCACTGCATCTCTCACTGCTCCTGCTCTTCTCCCTGGGCCCCTTGCTCTTACTCTTCCTCGTCCAGACATTACAGTGTTTGTCTTTTTCTGTTTCTGGTTTCAAAAACATCACTCCTCAAAGTCCGAATTTTACTGTATAAGTGTCAATGTAATAGAAAAAAATTGGGTAATTTTGGGTTGGCCCAATTTACCCAACATAAATCAGCTGTGTGTCAATTATTCAATTGTTTGTTTATTATTTTGCTGAGATATATTGTTTTTGAACTGATATCATTGCAGGAGCAGAGGTTTTTATACTGTATCTAAGGTTTGGAATATTGTTTTTGCTATTGTGGGATGGTGTGTGTTAACATTCGCAAATACTACAAAAACAATCCATAATTTTGTTGGGAGGTATAACTTGTCTGTTAAGCAAATGTAAGCATTGTGGAAATGTGTTCACTGACTGCATATTGTGTGAAAACGACATGAAATGTGTGAATGGTATGGCCACAATATACCGATGCTGTGCTAATTGTGTTTAGAGTTTTGAAAATGTGACTACTGGTTGGACAAACGCTTGTTAGCGACTGAAAAAAACTGTAATAAAACATAATGTGCTTGTGTGGAACCACTGTCCATAATTAAATTGAGTAAGTTTAAAGAGTCATTTTTTTTTAGTGACAGGTTAAGTTAATTTAATGCAATACAATAGTGTTTTGGTGGTAAAAGAAATATATGTGTGTTACTTTAACAAAACATACTTGGGTAAAAATAACAGAGCCACAAAACCATTTTTTTGAGTGAATGACTCTCTATCTGCAGTTTATGTTGCATGGTCCATGTTTGTATTACAGTACAAAATTATTCCTAAGTTTCACCGAGTTTTGGTGGTGTTTGTGTCTGAGACTGTGAGAAAATAATTAATGTATTCTGAAATATGTTGTTATTGAATGCATTTTTGTGCCAAATCAATGATAAATGACCCACAGTTTAGCCCACATAAACTGCTGTTGTGCTCAATGTGTGAAGAGTTTTGAAAAAATGACCTAAGTATTGAGAAGTGTGTCCGTGATTATTAAAAAAACTGTAGCTACAGGTTTAAAATCAAGACATTCATCATCAGAGTTGCTTCAACTCACCTGATCCTTCACAAGCTTAGACCTATTCTTGAACTCCTGAGACTCTGAATTGTTGAGTGGATCTGTAAACGTGTCAAAAGAGTGAAACTCCAGATCTGTTAGTACTATTTTCACAGTGGTTGTAGGTACTGTAGTTGTGGTGGATGTAATGGGTCCAGTTGTGGTTGTGGTGACTCCAGTGTTAGTGGTGGATGATGCAGCAAGAGTTGATGTTGCTGTTGAGGATATTGTTGTAAGTGTTGTGGATGTTTCGACTGTAAGCGTTGGACTTGCAGAAGCCGCTGAAAAGGAACCGGCTGAAATCAAGGTAGGTTGTGATGCTGTTGTGGTAAGTGTTGCACTGGTTGTGGTTGGTGTTGGTGTTGGTGTTGTGGATGATTGAGCTGCATGAAAAGTAGATGGAGAAGGAGTGGCTGAAGTAGGCAATGATGCTGTAGATACTGTTGGAGTAAATGCGGTAGTGGATGGTGCAGCAAGAGTTGATGTGGCTTTTGAAGATTCTGCTGATATTGTTGTGGATGTTTTGCTCACACTAAGCGTTGAACTGGCAGAAGCTGGTGAAAAGGAACCGGATGAAATCAAGGTAGAAGCTGTTGCTTGTAATGCTATTGTGGTTAGTGTTGCACTAGTTGTGGATGTTGTGGTTGTGAAAGGACCTGTTGGTGTCGTGGATGATTCAGCTGTGCTATGAAAGTCTGAAGAGGGTTCGGGAAAAGCAGGCATTGTTGTTTCAGATGCTGTTGAAGTGAATGCACTAGTGGCAGATAATCCAGGAAAAGTTAGTGGTTTAACTAGACATAAGATAACTGCTGAAATTAGAAAAATATAATCAAGTTAGATT